CATGAGGTGAAACCGATCGGGAGTTGGTGAGTGTGTGTGTATTTGTGTGTGAGCGAGCGAGAGAGAGAGAGTGTGTGTGTGTATATTTACATTTTTACATTTTAGCAGACGCTCTTATCCAGAGCGACTTACAGTTAGTGAGTGCATACATTTTCATACTGGCCCCCCGTAGGAAACGAACCCACAACCTGGCGTTGCAAGCGCCATGCTCTACCAACTGAGCTACAGGGGACTATATGAGTCTCTAGTGTGTGGGTTTGTGCTGATTCAGTAGGGATGGGTGAAGGTGACCCTCCCTCCTCTCCTGCCGCCTCCCTGCCTCAACATCACCTGACATTGATCCTAGTTTTCCCACTCTGATCTGAGTCAAGGATACCACCACCAGGGCCTTATTGACATTTCCAAAATTATTGCTGTGCAATTGTTATTTCTCAAGCTGATTTGTCATTAAATTAATTTGCATGCCAATTTGAGTATTATTATTTTTTTACGTCTGCACACTTAGCAAACATTTATCTAGTCAAAGTATACTGTATGTCTATCAAATTGTATGGCCAGACGTGCTATACTTGAGACAATAGACAGAGAGTGCTACAACTACAGAATTCCAATGCAGTAACAGAGAGCAAAGGTTCGGTCCACAGATGGGGGAGTGTCTGTGTAGCCCTGCCCTGTCAAGGGTAAACTGCCGCACATCCTCCCCCTGCTGCCTCCTCCTCCTTAACCACACCTTAAACCCCTCCCATGAATATGCATGAGTGTGAAGGGCACAACATGCACATCATTAGAGAATCAACAACTTCCTGGTGACATACATTAATACTACACAAGAGCATGTCACTTCCCACTTAATCTGCTATTCCCTCATTAGATAGTTAGTGGATAAATGTTTTGAAAACTGCTGGCAAACAGCCAAAGATATTTCAGGTTAATGACAGCTGGTTAAGACTGTGTGAAAGAATCGATGGAAAACTGGGGAAGAACAGAAGGAGATAAGGTACAAGATCCTGAAAAGTCAACAACCAAGACCCATGGTCCTTTGTGGCTCAGATGGTAGAGCATGGCACTTGCAACACTAGGGTTGTGTGCTCAATTCCCACGGGGGACCAGTACAAACAAATATGAAAATGTATGCACTCACTACTGTAAGTCGCTCTGGATAAGAGCGTCTGCTAAATGACTAAAATGTAAAAAAAACTAACATGGGGGTTTGAGAAGATGAGAGGGAAAGATCAGGTCTCTCTGGGATACAGTGTGTGTCAAGGTACAGGGGGACAGTGGTCTCAAAGCACAAGTCTCTTGGATAGCGCCATATGTCTCTGGTTCTCTTGGACTTCATTAATTATTCATAATACCACTATAACCTTGACTAAGCCCAGAGCAATGCTCAGTGTGAAGTCAGGGTCACACATCCATCACAAGCAGGGACACACCCTGCACATCAATTGACAGTGAAGCACATGCAATAATACAAAGGCTTTCTTACAGATAATAAAGAACATAATTCCATTAACAACATACAAGCAGTTTGTCATCCACACTAGATTTTGTAGGCATGAAATATGTCAAAGCTGTATCTATGTAAACACTCAATGCAAAGTTCATTGAACATGTGCTCTACTATTACAGTAGGCATACTTATATTACACTTTTGTCAGTATTACCTTTTACATTTTTGTTTGGGTATGACACAGAATCAAACGATGAAAATAAATGATATTTCTTAGAATGTTGAGACTGTCTTAGTTATAGAAACACAAATATTCTTTTTTTTTTTACTTCTTAGAAAATAATTAGGCTAAGCCTAATAAGTCCTTTATGGTGAACAATCAAATCACATTCTGACTATACTGTAATAACAAAACATGAAAGAAGCTAAACAAAACTGAAAGCTATAGCCTACAGGTCAACTTTGACCAGTCAACTGATACCTTTATCAGTAAGATATCCCCTCCCTTATCCCCTGTCTCACGAGCCCACACTCTCACAACACGTAATATTTAGGGAAAAATACTGACCTGCCTTGGCGCTGACATACACACATTCTTTTCAAGCAATTTAGCCGTTCAAAGAGGAGCCGTTTAAACGCGTCTATATACATTGACCCGACCGAAACTACACTTGACCCCAACGGTCACTGAATTGAATATTACAAAATAAATGCCAAATAGTTATCTATACTACATTAATTCAATACAAGCTATTTGAAATCGGACTAAAGCGCGTTTATTGACAGCTGTTGCCGACAGTTTCTGCAGACACTTAGACACGATGTGCACGCCAGACGGAGTATTTGGACACTGTAGTAGAGACTTGTGTGTCATGAACAACGAGGACGCTCTACAGCTCAGCACGAGATCCGCGATGATCTGACAGACGAAAAAATCCAGTCAGGCAAAAAATCGGACAGGTTTACTCTAAATTAAGAGCCTGGGCTGGTAGGCTATACACCGGACTGGGGTTAATTATGATAATGGGTACATGGCATGGGTGTTTTAATTCATCATGGGGCAATCCCAATGGGCACACACTGATTGAATCAACGTTGGTTCCACGGAATTTCAATTAAATTACATTGAACCAATGTGGAATATACGTTGAATTGACGTCTGTGTACAGTGGGATATCACTTATTTGTTAAGGGATACAAAAACGATAGGCGAACACACGAACCCGGTCCAGACACTGATGCTCACCTTCATAATTCCTGCTTTCTTCTAGGCATATTCCTTTGCTTTTGATAGTTTTTTTGATATATCAGTGTGGTTATAGACATTCAAACGATTTTCACACTGTAGTTGAGGCCATTAATGTAAAGAAAAGACACGGCGACGAAATTGATTTTAACTGGACAGGGGTGTTACAGAATTGCAGATGCGATGCTGTCAGAGCGCGATACCCATGCTTGAGGCAATTGAACAACTCAAAATTGCATGCTATCTTTGTCATATTGTTGTAGGTCACAAAAAGCAGAGAAAAAAACCGTGATGAAGCAAATGAGCGCCAAAGGATGTGGGGGCATGGGAGGGAATGGAAATGGGGGGAAATAACCGCCCCTAGAGAAAGTGGTGTACAGTATTATACACTTTATTTCGTTTGTCTGACGCGCTCGTCTTTCAGCATTAGGCTACTTTGATGAGATTTTGACATGAGTACACAGTACACAGTACGCTATAGTTGAAGTAATGGACCATACACAGGACTTTCCTTGGACTAACTCAGGTTAGACATACAATCGGCAAAGTTCTTTCTAATATAAAATACAACATATATGAAAGGAAAAATAGACTACAGCCAACAACAACAAAAAGTGTTTGCATGTACAGTCTTGGTCAAAAGTTTTGAGAATGACACAAGTATTGGTCTTCACAAAGTTCGCTGCTTCAGTGTTATGATATATTTTTGTCAGATGTTACTATGGTATACTGAAGTATAATTACAAGCATTCCATAAGTGTCAAAGGCTTTTATTGACAATTACATTAAGTTTATGCAAAGAGTCAATATCGGCAGTGTTGACCCTTCTTTTTCAAGACCTCTGCAATCCGCCTTGGCATACTGTAAATTAACTTCTGGGCTACATCCTGACTGAGGGCAGGGAGTTTGTCAGAATTTGTGGGTTTTTGTTTGTCCACCCGCCTCTTGAGGATCGACCACAAGTTCTCAATGGGATTAAGGTCGGGAGTTTCCTGGCCATGGACCCAAAATGTCATGTTTTGTTCCCCGAGCCACTTAGTTATCACTTTTGCCTTATGGCAAGGTGCTCCATCATGCTGGAAAAGGCATTGGTCGTCACCAAACTATTCTTGGATGGTTGGGAGAAGTTGCTCTCGGAGGATGTGTTGGTACCATTCTTTATTCATGGCTGTGTTCTTAGGCAAAATTCTGAGTGAGCCCACTCCCTTGGCTGAGAAGCAACCCCACACATGAATGGTCTCAGGATGCTTTACTGTTGGCATGACACAGGACTGATGGTAGCGCTCACCTTGTCTTCTCCGGACAAGGTGTTTTCCGGATGCCCCAAACAATCGGAAAGGGGATTCATCAGAGAAAATGAGTTTACCCTAGTCCTCAGCAGTCCAATCCCTGTACCTTTTGCAGAATATCAGTCTGTCCCTGATGTTTTTAGTGGAAAGAAGTGACTTCTTTGCTGCCCTTCTTGACACCAGGCCATCCTCCAAAAGTATTCACCTCACTGTGCGTGCAGATGCACTCACACCTGCCTGCTGCCATTCCTGAGCAAGCTCTGCACTGGTGGTGCCCCGATCCCGCAGCTGAATCAACTTTAGGAGACGGTCCTGGCGCTTGCTGGACTTTCTTGGGCACCCTGATGCCTTCTTCACAACAATTAAACCTCTCTCCTTGACGTTCTTGATGATCCGATAAATGTTAAATTTAGGTGCAATCTTACTAGCAGCAATATCCTTGCCTGTGAAGCCCTTTTTGTGCAAAGCAATGATGATGGCACGTGTTTCCTTGCAGGTAACCATGGTTAACAGAGGAAGAACAATGATTTCAAGCACCACCCTCATTTTAAAGCTTCCAGTCTGTTATTCTAACTCAATCAGCATGACAGAGTGATCTCCAGCCTCGTCCTCGTCAACACTCTCACCTATGTTAACAAGAGAATCACTGACATGATGGCAGCTGGTCCTTTTGTGGCAGGGCTGAAATGCAGTGGAAATGTTTTTTTCCGGATTAAGTTCATTTACATGGAAAAGAGGGACTTTGCAATTAATTGCAATTAATCTGATCACACTTCATGACATTCTGGAGTATATGCAAATTGCCATCATCAAAACTGAGGCAGCAGACTTTGTGAAAATTAGTATTTGTGTCATTCTCAAAACTTTTGACCACGACTGTACAATAAACCCCCCATAATAATATTCCCTATAATAATGGCATTAGCCAATTGCATTTTGGGAAATGTAGTGTCTTCACAGATCCGTCAAGTTGCTGTCGGTGCACATTAAACTATATTGCCCAAAGCTCTCTGGTCTTGCCTCCTCTCGTACATTGCAAACATGGCGTCCTCGCAACATGAAGAAAACAGCAGTAATGTTGATATCTCAACATCTAGTGTTCAACAGCAAGGAGAGAGAAAACCAGGGGCTATATCTTTTGGTTTTAGCAAAACTTTAAGTAAATTTAAATCTAGTCGGGATGAAGCTATAAACGCAGATGAGCGAGATTATTTAACCGGAGTCGATGGGAAAGAATTGCTAAGGTAAGATAACGTTAGCTAACGCTAGTTAGCTTTCTTCTAACGTTGGTGTCTAAATACAGTTGCAATAGGTACATATTGTTGCCTAGTTAGTTAATAACTTTACTAGTCTGTTTTGAATAAACATGTTGCTTCCCCTTCGTGTATTAGCTAGTTAGCTATGTATTAGTTACATTTGTTTGAACCTGGTGCGATCTTCTTCTACATGCGGTTTTCTAGCAGACTAGACGCCTTGTTGCGTATTACTGCCTTTCACAGTTCGGAAAGTGAATTGCACATTCTGTTCACAAAAAAAGCGAAATGGGGTTAAAAAAAAAATCTTGCACCACCATCTAACCCTAGATATAAACCACTAACCCCAACAAACCCACCACCCCTTCCCACTACTTTGGCCCTAACAGATCCTACACCAGGCCATCGGCCTGGGAGGCTGGAGCCACTTCTCTAAACCCCCCCTGTAGTTATTCTACAATAAAACCATCATCTGGGATTTATTTTCTGTCTTTGCAGTACAATTAATGACCATAACAATAAACACCAACAAGCTTACTACTCACAGGGATCACCTCAGGCTCCCTCTCCCCACCATCCTCTACTTTCCTCACTGCCTCAGCATATGACATTTTCTGCACTGCTCTCACCCTGGAAACTTCAACCTGTCTCACTCGCACAGGATATTTCTGATCCCCCACAATTGAAACACACCACTCTTCCACCAAAATTACACACTCCTTTGTCCCCTGCCCTCCTGCACACTTCTCACACCTCGGAATCTCCCTCCTACATATTGCTGCAACATGGCCATAAACTTGGCACATGAAACACCGTAGTGGGTTCGGAACAAAATCTCTCACAGGATCATTTATATACAGTACCTTAGCATGACTTTATCCAGTAAACACTGCATCAAAACTCAGAAGGACAGACACGGTCTCGCGCTCGCTACCAGGTCTGCGTCTCACCAAATTCTGTGCATCACAGACATCAGGGATCCTCAACTTCAGTTGATCCACCTCAAAAATCAACGCCACCCCAGTTATCACTCCTTTCAGCGGCGCTTTGCACTGGAGAGCAAAGCAGGACAAAGTACTCAGTTTGTATTGTGTGGACGTAGATTTGTACAATTTGTACCTAGCGCCCTTCTTTCTGCCTCACATAATCTCACCATCCGTCATTCCTCCCAATACGAAGGCCCCCTGATACCCACTCTTTACTCTACTGCCCACCCACCTGGTGTGGTCTGCTGGCTGTTAGCCTTGCATACTAGCTAGTAATCTCATAGCCCAGATTTATTGCGTGAGCGCCGGCCAGCTTCTCGATGTGACGCCTGTCCACGAGAGACTGGGAGTGCATCCCAATAATAATATCTCCTTTCTCCTAAAGCGTGTACAATCGTTCCCTACTTCCCACAAATTTGGATTGGTGGAGGCATGGGCTAGTGGGAATTTCCACTATATTTCTTAGACTAGTCATTAAATCAGTGAAGGAAAGTGAACAAGGGCACACACTGGGGGGAAGGAGTGATAATTGGGACATAGCCCTTGTATAGCTAATTGTTGTCTAGTTAGTAAATGCTTTCTACCTCTGTTTGCCTGTCTTAGTACCAAGCCTGTGGAGAAGCCGAAGGAGCTGATCATTCCACTCATCCAAAGGAACCGCTGGTGCAGCAGGCAGGAAAACAGAGCTGGCCTGGTCCAGGGGCAAGGTGATGGAGGGGGGGCTAAAGCCAAAACGCAACCCCCATCTCAGGAGCACGACTCAGTGGAATCACAGGCTGTCAAAGAAATTATTGAAGGTTTGTGTTCGTAAGCTTTAGTTACTACTTCAGTGAAAATAGCCTCACAGAAATTATCCTAATGTTGTGAATCCACAGTGAATACTCCGTTAGCACTCTTTCAACATCACATCTGTCTTTCAGAATCCCAGAGGCAGCTTGACCAGTGGAAAAATGGGGATCAGGCAGACCCCAACCTCACCATCCCCCTGCTAATGCAGAACCAGGCTCCACAGGGGTTTGAGGATGGAGACCACATCAAAGTGGACCTGCGACCAGAGTCTGTAAGTATGGGTCAGAGAAACCTTGTCTGTGACTGCCTGATTCTTGTTGTCTGGGTCTTACGTCTTTTCTCATTGGGCTGTAAAGTAACTTCAATGTGTTTTCACAGCAAATGTTATGTGTGAAATCAAATTAAGAAAGGCAACTTTTACAGAGGGCGATTGAAAATTGGTTCAGTTCATGAGAGAGAAGTTGATACATAAACAGAGATGGAAAGTTATGATAAAGGTGAGTGAATAAGAGAGAGATGTATCAACAAGAGTGTGTGAAAGTCAGATCAACAGTGTGTACGATGACAGATGGATGTGTACTGACCAGTTTAACTGGGACTGAAGCCATAGACTGTGTGAAAGTGCTGACCGCAGGATATTTACACACTTCAGATCTGACAGCGTCTTAAGAATGAGATGACACTTGCTCGCCCTCCCTCTCCCTAGAGACCAACAGTCATCTTCCTTTGTGCATCTCTTCCTCATCACCCCTCATCACTGTCATCGCACATCTGTCTTGACTGTAGAAATGAGGAAAGGGCTGAGGAGCTGGCTCATTCCACCTCCGGGTCACTTTCATGCTTCTCCCCCCATTAGAGTGATCCCAGCTTCACCTAGAGCAGACAGAGCCCACAATGGAGCTTAGACTGTGCCAGTGGGTGTGTAAAGAGTGATTTAACATGTTCTCCCTTTCTGGGACTGCATCAAGACTGTGATGTGTGTCTGATAAGTTGCTGTATGTTCAGTCAACAGAGGCAGATTATGACAGTGTTCCTGTGGAGGCGTACGGGTTAGCCATGCTGAAGGGGATGGGCTGGAAGGCAGGAGAGGGAATTGGACGGACCTTCAAACAGTGAGTATTTTCTCTCATGGTCAGTCTTCAAATAAAATTGTATTTGTCACATGCTTCACAAACAACGGGTGTAGACTAACAGTGAAATGCTTACTTATGGGTCCTTTTCTAACAATGCAAAAAATAGAAATAGTTGTTAATGCCTTTTAGATCCAGGTTGCTCTGTCTGCTTTATTTATAATGTCAATAGTGTCCACGCTTATTGCATCAGTATTTCTTTCTCTTTTTATTTCTCTCTCTAGAGATGTGAAGCCTATAGAGCACCAGCTGAGGCCTAAGGGTCTTGGTCTGGGAGCTGATCGCTCTTCCATAAGAGACCTGGAGCCCAGCAGGCCCCGGAGGCCCCCCAAGCCAGGCGATGAGCAGAAGGAGGAGACCCTGGTCCTGGGGCCTGGAGGCCATGTGCTGGTTGAGTCTGGAGCACACAAGGACCTTTACGGGAAGGTGAGATATCTGGCTTTGTGTGTCTGGAGTCTCTGAAACCACAGAAAGCATTAGCAATCTCCTGAGAAGATGACATTGTGACATATCACGGTCTAGTAGGCAATCTTCTGTGTCATAGTTGTTGTTCTAATTTGACTTATTTAAAAAGAGCAAGACAATTAGCTTCACTTTGCTAAAATGTTACTGCCTTTACTTGTGCCTTTGCACAGGGATTGACTGTTTTGAGTCCCCCTCATTCTTCTTACACCCCACCTATTACAATACCATTCTTGTGTTACAGATCGAAGGGGTTGATCCGGACAATGCACGAGTAGTGGTCAAGCTCGCAATTGGTAGCAAGACTGTGACAATCAGTCAATATGCACTGAAACTGGTTGACCGCACAGAATATGACAAAAACTGCAAAGACCTCAGTAAGTTTGTCTCCTGACATCATGTTAGTTTTGTGAATGCTCTATGAAATTACATTCAACCTGTTTACAGTAAAATACTGGACTAATTGAGCAAACGGACAGGGTGCACAGGGAGTCATGGAAATGTTATTTCCGTCATTATTTCCAATATTGTCTTCTTCGCAATATTGTGAGATACCCCCTCTCTACATAAGATGGATGGTTCCAGACCAGAAGGGGAAGAAATGGTCTGTTGTTGAGTGATGAGCTGAACTCTCTCTAGCTAATTTACATTTGAGCCACTGTGTGAAAAGGAGCAATCTGGCCATGTCCATTTCAACCGAAAACAGCCATGCTGTCACTGCTCCTATTATCAGTAATCAGACAGACCTGTTCCGAAAGTGGAGGGAGGTTCACACATAAGCAATGCCAGTCAAATAATACTGGTGCTCATGTGTTTATGCACAGGCTAATTTTACTGCTCTTTTGTGGCTTATGTTATTGCTGAACAGGTAAATGTGTATTAGCACTATTATCGATAATGCAGATGAGACTACTTGATAATGCTGATGCAACTGTTTAATGGAGTCCCCTGTGACTATCTTTCTACAAAACAGGTCGCCTCAGCAGGGCCCACAAAGAAAAGGAGAAAGAGAAGGAACGGCAGAGACGGGAAGAGAAGGAGAAAGAGAGGAGGAATGAAGAAGAGGAGCGGAAGAAAGGTAGATCTTCTGAGAGGGACAGAGATGGAGGGAAGGACCAGAGAAAAAGGAAACACCGGGATTCAAGTCAGGACAGGTAGAGTATCCTGAAGTGTAATATTTATAATAAATACAAGAGGATAACGAATATGACTTGGATTAGTTTGTGTTTATTTTTGAATATAGTACTCCTTCATAGAAATACAAATCTGAAGCAAATATTTACTCACACCATTTCATTTGTTAAAGGTGCAATATGCAGAAATCGCTCAGCCATTTCCTGGTTGCTAAATTCTAATAGTTTGCCTAATTTCAGTTTGTTACAAAACAAGCAATGGATAGTGTAGATAATCATTGTACCATCTAAACCGCTTTGAAATGTATTTTCATTAAACCAAAACGATTGTACTTTCAGCTGTTTGAAACTGGTGTACAAAACCGAAAGTATGATGCAAAAACAAAACTTAAGACCGGGAAGCGTAGAAATGGAGCACATAGAACAGATCTACCGCTTCTTAGACTTGCTTTCAATGAGTGACAGATAACTCACATTTCTATGTGAATTTGGTCAGGTCGCCCAAAAAGTTACATATTGCAGCTTTAAAAAAATTATAAAAAGGTGTGGGTAAATTGCTTCAAATTGGTAATGTACTTTTTTCTTGATCACCAATCTTCACATATCACCTTTTCCTTCTCTCCTCAGAGAGAAGCCCCTGGCAAAGCTACCCCCTGCTTCCCCCCCCTGGCTCCAGAGAGACCTGAAAGTTCGCTTTGTAGATAAAGCTTTCAAAGGGGGAAGATACTACAATTCAAAGGTACTAACACAAGGGGCACTAGTACACAAATCATTGCAACTCATTGCCTATTGAAACTTTACAGCCCACAACAGTTCTGTTGTTGATCATTAGAATCAGTTTAATGAATATCCGATGTTTGTTTCTTGTAGATGCGAATAGAGGATGTCTTGACGCCAAACATCTGTGTGTGTCGTACTGAGGAAGGCAGATTCTTAGATGGTGAGTTCATGAGAGCCTTCTGTTTACTGCTGAATTACCTTCTACTCACTCCAACCCATATGCTTTTAAATGGTGTTTCCTCTACTCATCTTTTTTTTTAAACTCAATGATGCCCTTGTCTTTATGATAACGTAGATGTTAAACAGACAATGCTAGAGACCATTGTGCCAAAGAGTGACTCGGAGGACATCATGGTTGTACTCGGTGAACACAGAGGGCAGGTGAGTGGATGGGTTGGCTGGCTCATCGTTATCATTTTGCCTGTAAAATATCCATGCGGATTTCTGTTACATGGCTTTCATTACTGATTGGGTTGAAGGGCTACAAAATTGGGAATGTTTAAGTCATTTTTTTAAAGGGTCCGTTGTCAATTACATGGTGTTTCAGGTGGGCCGTATCCTCCAGAGGGACAGAGACAGGAGCAGAGCCATGGTGCAGCTGGACAGATATGAGGAGAAAATCTTCACCCTGGACTATGACTCCATCTGCCATTATGTAGGAGGGGGAGATCACTGACCCCAACTGGTCTTACCAGCTCAACCAGTGATGTAGTGGTAAAAAAAAAGGTGGGTGAAGAAAGTAACGCTCCCTATACTTTCAATGCATTTTCCCACGTTAAGTGGGTAAACGCTCGAGCAAAATAAGTGTGTAAACGGTGTTTACCCTCCACTACAACACTGTCAACATGCCCCAACGTCCTCTTAGTGGATATGTAATGTCGTCTACATTTAAGTTTAGTCATAAAATGCAAGATTCTGTGTATGTACTGTGAGTAACTTGTCATATTGTAACCTTTTTAATAAAATCATGTCAAAAGCAAAGCCATTTTATTGTGCTTTGTCCCGACTCAAATGTGGAAATATAACACTGACATAATCATGTTGGCCATACTACAATATTCAGAATTATGCCTTTTTTTTTTGCTAGGTTTCCTGCAATAGCATTGCAAACAGCCTCACTCCAAAGGAAAAAAGCCAGTAACAAGTCTTTAAAACAAATATTTTTTTAACAAAATGAGTAATTTATTTAGCAAATGCAACTCATCTGATGATCATTGAAAACAAAGGTAGCCTACAGGTAACATTCGAGCAATACAAAAAGAATACCAAGTTATTTACACATGTACAGAAGCACATGACAACTTGTTTTCGCCTCACCGGATAAGCTTTATCAAGAGTCTCAAATTCCATGTTGTGTATGGATTGAAAATAGAATGGTAACTTCAGAGACTTCATCCAAACGTAGCAGACAATGAGCCCACAGTTCTGTGTTTCCCTCAGAGTTTGAAGCCCTGTGGTCAGTCGTCATAATCACTGGGGGGCTTTTTATTGGCAGCGTTGGCCCTGAGTACAGCTCCAGGGCTGGGGTACGGCCGCTGCTGGAACAAAGGCCCTGATGCCGTGGTGTCTGCCCCCGTCTTTGCCTCATTGCGCTTGGGCAAGCCAGTGGACCAATTGCCCCTGTGTGGAGGAAAATAAATCTTAGATATATACAGGGCAGGGGGAAAAGAGTGGCAGGGATTTCTGACAATGGCTATAAGATTATGGTGCAAGGAAAAGTAGTGATGAATGACCACTATGGTTGGGTCAGTGGCCTTACTTGGGAGCATCTGAATAAGCACTGGGATCCATTGGGTCCATCTCCTCATCCTTCCTCCCTGAAAAATACAGTTTACAGAAACCTGTTAGCAAGTGTACATAATTCATTACATTTGTTCATGCTTGCAATATTTGTTTTGAGAAAGAAATGCAACGTCCCTCCTGAGGAAGGTTATGAATCTTTACCCTCGTTTGTTCTTGCTGTAGGGGGCAGTGTCTTCTCTCCTCTGCATCCGTCTGTCTCTCTCCCTCCCATCATTCCTTCCTCTTTCCATTTCTGGTTCCCGCTCCCTCTCTATGTCTGACTTTTCAATTTGTCTCTCTCTGTCCTCTCCAACCTCTGCTGTAAGACAAACACAGAATATTGGGGTTAGCGAGTGTCAATCAAATCCATCCTAAATATTGAGTCTGAATACATGCAACTGTCTCCTACTGGGTGGTCACGCTAGGACTCTTCTTACCCCTCAACTTCTTGGCAGCTTTGGTTATCATAGATTTGGGGTCGGTTGGGGACAGCCAGGCAACCAGGTCAGATTCCACATTCCAGTAGTATGGCAGACCACTGAGGACACAAAATACATGGAATCTTAGTCAGTCCACGAGCAAAAACAATCACTCCATCATAGCTGCTGTCCACTAGCCATACCCAATGGGTGTTGTACAATCTAAACGTTTAGTAGAGAATCTGAACGAGTTCTTACCAAATAGGGTCAAATACTTTGTACCAGTTGGGAGGTAAATTCTCACGGGCAGTGGTCTCATAATCTACATAGTTGTCGTCATAGTCCTCAGCAATGATCTCATCCACATCTAGAGACAGGTAGTGTTAGTGAATGATGTTAGACAGCTAGCTAACATTTTTAGTGAGTATAAATTAGATTGTTTGGAACAGTTTGTTGCTATACCTTGATCGGAGTGCTTAAGAATCCCTCTTTTGGCTAGGCGAGCCAGTAACGCCGGGGGAAGAGGCATCTTAAGAGAAAATGAATGATTATAGCTAGCCTCACTCACATAGGCATGGCCCTGAACACATTAGTTGGCTAGATAAAAAAAATAAAGTACGCGTAGCCTGTGTAGCTACCTACGTTCGCTCACTCGCGTCTAAGCGTCAGTACTGTAGCTAGCCAACTAACATTTCCAGCCAACCAAATTAGCCTTAGGGGAAACGTTAATGTAATCAAATGTGAATACAACTCAAAGCCCGGTTTATAGTTACCTGCAGACAAAATTGTCCTTAGCTACTAAATTGAGATGTGGATTGAAATCTAGCTAGCTAGCCCCCTCAGTGATAATAGAAACAGCACAAGCGCACTATGATTGTGTCATTATTTGTGTGGGGGGAGGGGTCCAGGGTCACGTGCTAGCATGTGTGCTCTATCTGCATTTCTATTTTGAATTCGGGAAAGATAGAAACGCAGTCTCCTGATTTTTGCAGCTATGGCTCTATCCAGTTTTGTGGCTGGCAGTTTACCAAAAACAATGCAAAATTGTAAACAACTAGCCAGCTACGCAGCATCGCTTCAGACTGGCGAAATTGACGCGCGTGAACCGACCCAATTTCTTCGTCTCAGAAATGTGTCGTCACACAGCAACAACAAACATGGAGGAATATGCCCGTGAACCTTGGTAAAGTACATTTCAGATTAGGCAGAGAATTAAGTAAACCGTTTTCAATATTGGTCCGATCTCTCTTTAGCCGACATACTTGGCTAAAGAGTATGCTTCCCCATATGGTTATGCCTTTCATGCCTGAGTCATTACAATAATTATGGTTGAATTAGCTAGCAGTAACCTTAAAACAAATATGGTGCTTACACTTGTCCTCCTTGCTTTAAATGAGAATTGAACTCGAGAACCAACTTGTCGTTGAAAACTGCATATGTGACATCGATATTAGTCAAACATTTATTCCAGTGCCAAAATTTGACAAAGTGCAAGTAGATACATTTTGGTAGTAAAGTCACTATCTTTCAGACGTGAGTTTTATCAAATTTTGTGTATAAGAGTTCGTCAGGATTTACTTGAGGGTTGGGTTTTGATTTCTACAATGCCCACTAATACGGGATAAACAGCTGCAGTGATTGCACTCTATCCAATCCATATTGCAGAACACACAGACCTGCCCAGCAGCTCAGTGGATCTGACTTTCTTTACATAAGACAACACATTGTGCATGTTTTTACTTGAGAAATACTGCACCAAACACCTTAGGTAGATGTAAAATTGCGTGACTAAAACCTTATCGGAAAAAAACTCAACTCAAGAAATCTGTATTTACTTTTATCTTAGATTTGTTCAGACTATTGTTAGGAAGTGATACTAGCTTTGTTCCTATGGAATCTCATGGGGGACAAACATTAGTAACTGCCACATCGAACCACACCCCTAAGACTGAAATCTCGTTTTTCATAATAAGCAACAGAAGAACAGGCAGAATCGGTGCATTCAGTTTCTCTTTAAACTAGCCTTTATAAATGGTCTTTATAAAAGGTTTGTTAATGGTTTTTAATTAGTATCCTAATAATAATATTAGCTAGTTTAAATATTAGGTAGTGTGTGTATATATAGTTTATAAATCAGTAATAGGCCTACACATTTATGCATAGATAGGATTTCTCTTGAATCTGTCAGTATTGTGGTTTATTTACCCATGTCTTTTACCCACACTTCTCAGTCCCTGGAGGATAGTAGATGATTGTGGTGGTGCGTTCACCATGGGGACAATTGGCGGAGGGGTATTCCAGTCAATCAAGGGCTTTCGGAATGCTCCTGTGGTGAGTTTGAAATACTTTCTCTGAGCTTATCAAATATATTTTAAGATCAATATCAGAACAGTGATTCCATTTTTTCCATCTCTGCACAGGGCTTTCAGCACAGACTAAAAGGTAGTGCCAATGCTGTGAGAATAAGAGCTCCACAGATCGGCGGTAAGGGTCACTGTCTCTACAGTAGTTCTCTCTCGTACAGCACAAAGTACAAACCCCATCATCACTATTTGTTTATTTCTCACTAACAGTGTGTGTGACGTTCCTGCAGGTAGCTTTGCTGTGTGGGGTGGACTCTTCTCAACGATAGACTGTGGTCTGGTCCGTATTCGAGGGAAAGAGGACCCCTGGAACTCTATAACTAGTGGGGCGATGACTGGGGCTGTTCTGGCTGCACGCAGTGAGTGTTGAGGCAAACATTTATTTGACAATAATTTAAATCTAGATGTAGCAGATTTGGAATATTTCATATTTTTTCTAGACCCTCTAATCTGAGTACATCCCCACCCCCTGCCTGACCATTTTGCCCCACCGACTCAACAAAGTCAGATTACCTCAAGGGCTTGACTGTTGGCTTTGTGCTCTTCTCAGGTGGGCCCTTGGCTATGATGGGGTCAGCCATGATGGGGGGCATCCTGCTGGCCCTGATCGAGGGCTTTGGGATCCTTCTCACCAGATACACAGCACAGCAGTTTCAGAACCGTAAGTAATTTTTGGAGACAGCCTCTAGCTATAGAATGAAAAACATCTGAAAACCACCACACAGCAGTAACTAGTAGACATGACAAATCAGTTTCTTATGTCTCTTTCTCCTATTCAGCGAGTCCCTTTGTGGATGACCCCAGCCAGCTTCCTCCTAAGGATGCCAGCCAACAGCAGACTGGGTTCCAGTAGAGCCCAACCAGGACTGGAGCTACTGAGCATAGCTACAGCCCTGCATACTGTGACAGTCTCTGACTAGAGAGGAGAGAGGCGCTCTGTCACATGACCACACTGGTGTCAGCAACCTCAGGGGAATGGAAATACCTAACCTAAGCCCTCATCCTCTCAATGGCAATAAGAATGTAGATGCACTTTAGCGGTATTCCTCAGTGCTAGATTACAGTTGATTTAAGTTATATATGAATATATGTTTGTATACCGGTACACCAGTGTTCCGTCTGACTGGTCCTGAATTTTACCCACATTTATCAGAAACATTTATGCCCAAACCCATTATTTTATGTTGACTGTAAGAAGGTTGGTGCTTTATTACCACAGTTACAGAAATAGAATGGGTAGCTAAAAGTGTATAGGCATTAATAGAGGCATACAAGTATGAGATGCCAAGATTTAGGATTAGAAATTCCCACAATCTTACCAGAAGTGTGTCAGGTGTGGTACAATCAATGCCATTCAGAGCGGATGTATTTTCTCTTGCTTGTAAAATGCAATGCACTAAGGGAGGAGAACTGCACTATCATTCCATTTCCTGACCTCCTCATGGCAGCTTTCATAATCGTATGGCTTATAAGGGTCTGTGTCACATCACAAACGCACCAATGTTTTGTTTCCATTTCCAGGTCCAAATACAGTCACAGCTAATTTGTTCTGCTGTTTGTCTTTCCCTTCATTGCCACTATGCCATGCATTATTAGACATTCCCGCCATCTAAGCACTGTAAGGTCTATCCACTTTGATTAACCAAAGCACTTTCTTACTCCATCTCTCTGTGTTATTGTGTTGAGAAAAATAAGATGGAGATGGTTTTGTGACACAATTAGATATTTTTTGTTGTTCAAAACTTGACATGTAATGTATAGAATGCTGTACTATCGTTGTTGGTTTTAATGTATTTATGATGCAGAAAAATAAATGTTTACAGTGTAAATGACTGGGGAAATTATTTAAATGGTTGATTCTTGTATGGCTCCTGAATTCCGATTTGCTAACTGGTTGTAGTTATACACGTGCCGCCTTCACCAAATCAGCAAGTCGGACATTTCTAGTTTTCTAATTCCGGCTAGCATGTCAACGTGGCATTAATCAGCCTCTGACACGATCAAGTAAGCAGCTGTTGAAGCGCAAGGCCTTATTTTTATTTGCTAAACAACTTCGAACAGATTTTTATATTTTTCAAGAGTCCCACTCAGTTTCTGTTGATGCCAACTTCTGGAAGTCACAGTGGGGCAACGATATTTGGCTTTCCCATGGCTCCGCTGGGATCATTACAATGAAAAATGCCTTTGGTGATAATATTGTACGCTCGGACTGTGACCCCTTTGGTCACTTTATTTATCTTGTGATCAGTTACAATGACATTACGCTCATTACTGTAAACTTCTACGGGTACAACACCAAACATGAGAATTATGAGTTGCTTGAATCTGTAGAGAAACATTTACTTCATTGGTTGTCTACATTTCCCAATTCGTTATTATTGACAGGAGGGGACTTTAACAATACTATAGATAATTCAACTGATAGATGGCCCCCAGGTAGGCCAACCATACAGAATTTGGGTTTAATACTTTTTATGGGAAAGTTTGATCTTACTGATATATCACTGATACGTAAGCCTAAAAAATAAGTGCTGCTCATCGATAACTGTCGTCCAATTTGTCTTCTTAATAATGACTATAAGATATTAGCCAAACTACTTGCAAAAAAATTAAAGATGTCCTGGATGCAATCATTGATGAAACACAGTCCTGCTTTATGAGGAACAGACATATTTCAAACAATATCAGACTAGTATTAGACATACTTGACTACTCAGACCTAATAACCGAGGATAGCTTCATATGATTTTTTTGATTTTTATAAAGCATTTGACACAGTAGAGCATCAGTTCGTCTTCCACGAACTGGCTTTGGGGATTTTTTCTGTAAGGCTATTAAGACTCTCTATACGAATTGTAACAGCTCGATCAAACTGAAACATGGCACCTCACTTAGATTTGAGTTAAAGTGAGGAATTAGGCAAGGTTGTTCTATCTCACCGTATCTGTTTTTATTAATCACCCAACTTCTTACAAATTATTTTAATAATAGTCCTGTACAAGGTATTCCCATAGCTGGTAAATACATTATTATAAGCCAGCTGGCTGACGATCCAACACTTTTTCTGAAAGATGCTAGTCAGATTCCCATATCGATCAATGTGATAGAATCGTTTTTCAAAGCGTCTGGACTTTGTCTTAACATTAATAAATGTGAACTCATGGCTGTCAAAGATTGTGTGACACCCTCATATTATGGTATTCCAGTGAAAGAAGAATTTACATATTTAGGCATAACCATTACTAAGGGATCAGAAATCTAGAGGCTTACAAAATTGTAACCCTCTTATTAATAACCAAGGCTGAGGGTATCTCTAGGCTAACATATGCCGCTCTATCTTTATATCTTGATAGTGTAGTATCTAAACAGTTTATGATTTTGCTGACTTTGCAAATGGTGTGTTAGAGGAATTTGGCTCTGCTTGCGGAAACATCTGGAAAACATTACTATAGGGGCCCCCTAAGATAGAGGATATTCGGATGTGTAAAGGCCAGGGATTGGTCTATTAAAACCACCCATATTATGTTACATAGGATATAAATACCATGTTTTTGAACAAAGGACGGAGAGCATAACATATTAGAGATTGGGTCAGTTGTTCTCCAGATGTCTGCAGGAATCTGTAAATTGATACTGTAATCTTTGATGTAATAAACCATTATAATCAAGGACAGTGTCAGCGGATTTCTTGTCATCACAGCATTTCAGCATCGTTGTCTCGACACCACAATGGTAAAATAAGCAAAGAGATAGACCAGATGCTTTTCAACTTTCTGTGGAGAAACCGTACCCATTGCATTAGGAAAACTGTTGTAATGAAAACGTATGAGTATGGTGGGCTGAATTTTCTGGACTTTACTACCTTAAATAATACTTTTAAGATCAATTGGATAAAACAATTCCTAAGAAGACCCACTTCTATGTGGAACTTTATTCCTCATCATGTCTTCTCTACTTATGGTGGCCATAACTTCATGTTGGTTTGCAATTATAATATTGACAAAGTTCCAGTGAAACTCTGCTTTTCATCGGCAGGTTTTCTTGTCATGGTCTTTAAATTAGAAGCATCATTTTTCTCCACACAGATATTATATTGGCTCCCGAGTGGCGCAGCAGTCTAAGGCACTGCATCTTAGTGCTTGAGGCGTCACTACAGTATCACAACCGGCCGTGATTGGGAGTCCCATAGGGCGGCGCACAATTGGCCCAGCGTTGTCCGGGTTTGGCCAGTGTAGGCCATCATTGTAAAAATAATTTGTTCTTAACTGACTTGCCTAGTTAAATAAAGGTAAAAATAAATATATATGGAATAATCGGGACATATTATATAAAAATACTTATTTGTTTTTAGAATATTGGTTTAGAAATAATATCCTATTGGTGAGCCAACTTGTAAATGCAGAGGGTCTTTTACTTAATTATAAGGAATTCTTATCACTTTACAAGATCCCTGTAACACCTAAAGATTTTGCAATTGTTTTAGATGCCATTCCCTCAGGTGTTGCTTTATTATTCAGGAACGTGTCAAGACCTGACCCTCAGAACATACCTACGATTAACCCCGTTGAGTCATCATTAGGAAATATTTGTTTTCTTTTGGTCCATTCAACAACAATAGAGCTATACAGCCTTGTTTCAGCAGAATGTTGTATCTATACCTTGTCATGCTTATTGGAATGGTTTTGTTGATAATATCTGTTGGAAAAAAGTTTGGATGTTGCCACACACATACCTACTTATTAACAAAATTAAGGAAGTTTCTTTTTAAATCATTTATAAATATTATCCTGCCAACCACTATATGAAGAAGTTTAAGAAAAACATACATTCAAATTGTACCTTTTGAGATGTACTTTTGGATTATTTACCTACGATAGAAATAAGTTGAAACAATTTTATGTCATTAATTTCATTATTCTTTTGGCCAAATTTCATATTCACAAATGTAAATTTACAAACAAAACACCATATTTTCTTACCTTACAAAAATACATTGAACTATATTTTAAGACAATGAAATACTCTACCAACAAAAAAGCTGTTAGAATTATAAATGTGTGTATGCCCCTTAAGGTCCTTGTGTAATGTGATATTGTACCTCCTAGCTCAATTGTCCTTTGTATATTATTTATATATACCTGTGTTCCCCCATGTACTTTTTGTATTGATTTGTTGTTAATAAATGTGGATTTGGAAACCAAAACAACAACAACAAAAAAGTATGCAGCAGTTGATTTTCTTGAACAAGTCCGTAATCGAACACGCCCCCTACGGCCGCTTTGAGTTATGGGAGATTTCTGTTATTAGATTGAACATGGAAAAAATGGACGTGCAGCGGCCGCCCATCCGAACCTTGGATGATTTTGTTTTGGGCTCGGCTCGGTTCGCCGTGCCAGATATTCGTCATCTGGAGAGATGGAACAATCGGATCATAAATAACTTGCTGTATTACCAGTCCAACTATTTCCTCTCGTTTTTGACAGTCCTGGGAATAGTAGGGTATGTTTCTGACGTGGTCGTTTGCTGCATGAAACCACAGCTATGGAGATCAATTGTAATGGCGTCATTTTGTAGGCACTAACTCCGCCATGGTTCGTTTGACAAGGCCTATGGGGAAATTAATTGAGTTTTTGTAGGGTTTTGTTGTCAACACAGGCTTAGGAGATCTTATACGTTTTGTTCTATGAGATAATCTTCCTCAGCTAACGTCACTTGTTGTGAATTTTGAAGCATTTATGTAATAAAAAAAAGTACAAAGGCTTCATAATTCATAAAGGTAATGTTAACTGATTGATATTATCTCATAGAACAAAACGTATAAGATCTCCTAAGCCTGTGTTAACTTCAGTCCTTATTTTCTGTATTTATCCCAAAGCCCTATTCTTTCCCCATTCCTTTTCCCCATAGGGATGACTGAACGAACAAGAGGTAACTCATTTCCTGGTTTTAGGACTACAAGCTGGCAAGCTTTATAGTAGCTGCTATTGTAATGTGAGACATCACAAATTCTGTGGAAATGGGTGTGCTGGGTCATGGTCCATAATCAACATAATCATGTATAAGCTAGGTAACAAGCCATTGGCTATGATAATGGGCTGATTAATCGTTTTATTGGATTCATGGCCTTAACAATGGGACACACAACTTAGTTAACCTATATAGAGGAAAGTCCACTAACATCAGCCTTTTCTCTATCCCTCCTGCTCTGACAGGTTTTTCCGGACCTTCCACCTCTTCTTGGGTGCCACAGTGGTGACGTTGATATTTATGGGGTTTGTGTGGGCAGCAGAGAACCAGGCCCCCATCAGACAGTTGCGCCGGAACCACCCATCCCTAGCCCTGGGTGCCATCCTGGGGGCTAGCTACCTCTTCCTCACAGTGCTCGGAGGAGTATCCGTCTTCCTCTTCGGCATAGCCTTCCCCATCTTATGTAGTATTTATTCTCTCTTTCACCTCGCCCCACTCTTGTTGCCACAATTTAAACATATATCTAAGGTTTATAGCAATATTGTAACATAACTCTCTCTCTCTCTCTCTCCCTTTGTTATGCCCCTGGTCTCTCGTTTCTCTCTACCTCTATGTCTCATACAGTGATACTGATCCACGCCTCTGTTAGGCTGAGGAGCCTCAATAACAAGTTTGAGAACAAGCTGGAGAGCATTGGTCTGAAGAGAACACCCATGGGGCTCCTACTGGAGTCACTCGGACAGGACCAGGAGGCTGGGTCCTAGAGGGGGAGGAGAGGAAGGGGTAGAGAGACATGCCTGGTTCTATCTCAATCTCTTGCCCCTAGCCCTATTCACAGATCGGAAAGGACTGGATAAATATTAGCAATATGGTGATTATGCCCCAATAAGCTAAGTTCCTTCACATATCCTGTCCTGATATGTATTCACAGGGGTAGGGGCTAGAGACCTAAATGGAATGAGGCCTCAGACTAAGAGTGGGAGACAAAGGGAGGTGGCGAGGGAGGGAGGCTGAGGAAAGTAGAGGAAGAGAGGAGGGAAGTACAGTAAAGCAGTGGTGAAATGGTTGTTATGATATCACAGTGTCACGAATGTGGTGTAACAGATTGCAAATTCTGTAAAATCTATGTGGCCTATGTAATGCACACAACAACCGTCGTGGTTAATTCCTCCACATTCGAAGTCATTTTGCACATGTGACAAGCTCCTTATTAGAGTTTGCATTCTATCCTCAGAAAACTGAAAGCTGACATTATGTGAGCTGAAAAACTCTGCACTGAGAAGAAAATGTGTCCTCCTAACAGACATGGAGAGTGGAGAGTGCTACAATTAGATGGTTTATAAAATGCAATTTAAACGGTAGCGTTGTGGTTAAAAACGTTTTTTTACATGGAAACCTGAAGGTGTTTGATGAGCCGCTACTCTGTAACTCCTGACCACACTACTTTTTGTGTTATTGTCCATCCTCTACTGCTGTTGGGTTTAACAATTTGATGCAGTTGAACGTTTCAATGAGTTGGGATAGATCAAGGACAATTGTGGAACAACTGTATGCTTTTCATAGAAAAACAATTCATTCTACTTCTATGATGCTATGATTACAATAATTTTTACTGGGATTATGTATGTGTCTCTGTCCAAGCATTATGTGTTGCTAAGAACATTCATGTCAGTATGCCGTCATTGTGTAAAATGTTATTCTATTGAGAATATTGTATTTCTTTGATATTTTTCAGCAGTGCATTCTAGGGATATTGTGGTTATGGTTTTTTTTTTTCTCCAATGCTGTTAAATTGTATTTGCACTTCATTTAATACATATGCAATATCTTGTCATGATTTTATTTTTCAATCAGCCTATAATAACTTATTAGATTTGATGATCAAATTAGAAGAATAGATACATCCTGCCTGGTCACACAATAACTGAAAACATGCAACAGGTCAGCACAGCTGGGAAAAGCTCAAGCACACAAGGCTTTTTCTAAATAGAAACATAAATATTCTGTGCAGCATGCTACTGTTATTAATGATCAACTATATAGAAATTAATGTAAAGAGAATGCTGCTGCACTTGGATGTAAGATACATTGTGTACCAGACTCCATTTACGAGAAAAGTATGCCCCACAAGGTGTGCACTGCACCCTTTCCTGCACCACTTGTCCGTCTTCCCTGTTATTGAGTGGTCGGTTGATGTCCATGGTGCTGAAATGTATATCCACTGACCAGAAGTTTCTCTACGTCCCCACCGCCCTCCCCTTAAAAGGTTTCAGGACGGCCATCCTTTTAAACGGCTCAATTACTCTAATCCTGATTCAAGGCTGACCACAGCAGGTAGCTAGCAACCTGTAGCGTGTGTGGGGACGAGTTTATCATTTTTCTTGTTGAATTTTTATCTGAGCATACATGGTCAAAAAGCTGCTGCATTGGATCAAAGAAATAACAAGATCAGATTTCATGAGTAATTTGCTGTAGAAATTAATGGGCAAGGATGGCCCAGTTACCGGTGTGGCGCACTGACACGATTAAGAAATGGCTTGCTAACTCTCTATAAGTGTTTGTTTTGTTAATAGTCAATACGCCATGCACAGCCAATTTTGAAATTGGTTGTCAGTCAAACTGCAACTTGCACAACTATTTGATGGTGGCTCTTTCCCTGAAGGCATATTGTGGTTTTGAACTGCGACATGGCAGGAAAAGGTAAGACATAGACCATGCAAAATGTATTTTGGTTGTGCCTATTATGCATTGTGGGCCCAATTCAGACTTAGGGAATCTGTTCAGTTTTTATGCGTTTTGATTTAAGCACTTCTCAGTAGTTGGTATGCAGGTGTGTAACAGGCTTTGCAGGCACATGTGGCTCCCTAGCACACTGAATAAGTTTAATTCTACCGCTGAAAACCCTCCCACTTGCTGGCCAACAGATTTCCTCCTGGAGTTTTCATTCAATAGGGTTTTCAGTACATTTATCTAAAGCAATCCGTTTAAATATGGTGTACCATTAATTCGAATTTTCTGGACAGACACTAGAATGTATCTAGAGACAAGTTCAAAATAGTGATCACCGACAGAAAGCCATCTAAATACACGCATATTCGTCTCATTTTCAGCACCAATTAGATTTAAAATAATACTTCGGGTATTTATTTAGGGTTAGGAAAGTATTTATGAAACATACATAAACAGGGTTGGAGAGCCTTTACGTACTAAATATATAGGCAAATCAAAAATACAGTGGTTTGATTCATCCTGAATGTTCCCATATTCAATTGTTCAATCCATGAAATATTGGAAGGTGAGAAAAGTGTACAATAGGGGTTGAACAATAGTCCTATAAATGTACCCTAATCCTCACTAATCACGGAACTGTGATGACAACGGTCCAGTTGTCGTGAACGTGTGCCAGGCTCAGGGTTTTAACCACTATGTATGGTCTGCATTCTATAATTATTCACATAGGCTACATGTCCCAAACTATTGCACAACTTGTAATACGTTAGCCCATGGTTACCCAAACTCGGTCCTCAGGACCCCAAGGGGTGAACGTTTTGGTTTTTGCCCTAGGACTCAAATAATTAACTAATCATCAAGCTTTGATCATTTGAATCAGCTGTGTAGTGTTAGTGTAATATTATCCACAATGCTGTGTTAGCCTAACATTATCCACTATTGCTAGCGACCATCAGGAACAACAACACGGACATGACAGAGGAAAGAAAGGTAAACTAACGATGTAATGGAATGATGCAAAACGTAGGCTACAAATTGAAGGAAACTAACCCACTGGGCACAAACTGGACGAATCAACGTTGTTTCAACATAATTTGTCAACGTATTGTGACGTGGAATCTACATGGAAAATACATTGGATTTGAAAAAAGTAATCAATCAAACTGTTGTTTTGAGGGTGAAATTTAAGCCACAGGATCATGTCATCATGGTAACCAAATTTCAACATAGACAAACCTAGCATAACATATGTTAAATTTGTACCTTTAAAACAATGGCAAATCTTCAACGTTTTATCCACTATCAGAAAAATATATATAGGCTGGGCAGCACCTCCTACTGGAGAATTGATCTATCTACAGCTACCTTTTGTTGTCCCATCCAGGGGTTTAACCAAGCCCAGCCCTGCTTAGCGTTGATATTGGTGAATATAGTACCAATGTGCTATTGTGAGAATGATTGTTGAGAGGTCTCCACTTCAAAACTAAATAGATTCACTGTTGCTATCAAAGTCATTCCAAAGGGTGGGTTTAACAGAGCAAATGAAATGTAACCATACTTTATCAATCATCAATTATGCTATTTAGGCCTATATAGCATTTGCAAAGCCATCAACAGCAATTGTTTGAATTCAACCCAGAATTCAACTAAAAATAGACAATACAATAGGCCTAGGATTTCAAGCTCTGGTTGATTTCCAATGTAATGATATTGAATTGTGTTTGGTTGTCAACGCAACCAAATATCAACATTTGAAGGAGATGTTTCTTCCTCTTGGATAGTTCCACCTGTGCCTCTGACTTAGAGTAGTCTGCCTTTAATTCCAGTTTTTCTACAAAGGAATACTTTATATGTTCAATTCACATTTAATTTCAGATGCTGTTATCCAGAGCAATTAGGGTTAAGTGTATTGCTCAAGGGCACATTGACAGATTTTTCACCTAGTCGGGTCGGGGATTCAAACCAGCAACCTTTCGGTTCCTGGCCCAACACTCTTAACCGCTAGGCTTCCGGCCGCCTCCTGCTGCTACTTTCACGTCTCCATCTCAACCAACAATCAAAGTTAAAGAATGGGACTAAATTAAATCAAACTTTATTTAAAGTTCATTCAAAGTTTGATTTGATTTAGTCCTATTCTTTGACTTAGATTTTTGGTTGAGACAGAGACGTGAATCCAACATCAACTATACATTTGTAGACAAAATGGAATTAAAGCCAGACTAAGTCAATGGCACAGATGGAACTATCCAAGAAGAAGATACATCTAATTCAAATGTTGATATTTGGTTGCGTTGACAACCAAACACAATACAATATCACTTTGAAATACAATAAATAGCCTATTAACTTGTCGACAAGCTAAGAAATGATATATATTGGATTCACTTCTCCAACTCAACCAAAAATAAAAGTTAAAGAATGTGATTAAGCCAGTGGCTTAAATGGAACTATCCAAGCTGTAGATACATCTCCTTTAAACATTGATATTTAAATGTCAACCAAACACAATTCAACATTACTTTTCTGTCGCAGCCGGCCGCGACCGGGAGACTCATGGGCGGCGCACAATTGGCCCAGCGTCGTCTAGGGTAGGGGAGGGAATGGCCGGCAGGATGTAGCTCAGTTGATAGAGCATGGCGTTTGCAACGCCAGGGTTGTGGGTTCGATTCCCACGGGGGGCCAGTATAAAAAAAATATATATATATATATGTAATCACTAACTGTAAGTCGCTCTGGATAAGAGCGTCTGCTAAATGACTAAAATGTAAATGTAAAATGATTAACACATCCCATGGCCACATTTTGAGGTTACTGTAACTATACATATGTAATCATATAAAGTGTGCATGTTCAAGATAGCATGCATAGGTCATTGCAGTTCTGTGGAGATCTTCACAATTGCTGTAATAATCTGTGCAGAATCTCGAACGGCATTGATCACTTGCAGCATGTACTTTTAATGTAATCTCAACTGCAATTCAGGTCATTTGGTTGTACTATTAGATGACGCACAGTGATAACACAATCTGTTGTATAAATAAACAAAATATCTGACATTGTATTCCCATTTGAACTTGTAATGGTTGAAAGCGCAGTGAGAGATATTTGGGTGACAACTAAACAAAAATTCTGACATTGTTTTTCCATTGGAATTTGATTGTGTTTTAGGTGTTTGAAAGCATAGTGATAACATGTTGGAAATTCAACTAACTTTTGGCTCTCTTTTTGAGTGGGTGAATATAGGTTGTAATCTCATTGATCAATGTCTCGACCAAATATTACCCAATTATCTACCTTGAAATGATGTGGTGTGCCCAGTGGGATGAGATTGAAATAAAGCTATATCTTGAAGCAATACTTTGTTTACAAATGACAATGCAAAAGCAACATAAACAATGGTGTAATACAATGTCAGATTTTGAGTTATAATAGGGTAAGCTCATAAGGCTTTTTGTGATGCGTGTGATGGAAGGAGTCAGGCGCAGGAGGGTAATCACCGAATACAGAGTTTATTCCGCCTTTCCACATAAATGCGCTGGAATATCGACAAACGAAACAGGAACAGGAGAAACTATCATCCCTGGCAATACACTGTAACGGTAGATCCAACAATACATAGGCACAGGGGAAATATCTACCCTGGCAACAAAATGGTTAGAGTAGCTCCACTGCGGTACACTACTCTCACAATTAAACAATCACCCACAAGGACAAGGGGGCAAAGGGAACATTCACACGGACTACCGAGGGGATAAGAACCAGGTGTGTGTAATGACAAGACAAGACAAATGGAATGATGAATATAGGAGCGTCAGTGGTTAGTAAGCCGGTGACGACGAGCGCCGAAGCCTGCCCGAACAAGGAGGGGAGGCAGCCTCGGCGGAAGTCGTGACACTTTTAATATTCTTAAAGAATCAATGGGTATAATGTATGTAATATGATGTATTGAAATAATATTGAACAGCAGTTGTAACTCAAGGATCTTTTACAACATAGATTGTTAGTCCTAGTCACTCTCAAAAACAACTCTGTTCTGCTTTGTCAATGTCATTATCCGATTTAAAGCCGTTAGGCCTACATACCATTGTCACGAAACACAATAAGGAATAATAGCCAACACCTATGGCTGTTCTGCTCAATATGGCACCTTACAGTGCTACGTAGGCCTATCATACCTTACGTACCTTGTAGGCATATCATATACTGTACTCTGTAGGCCTATCATACCTTACGTACCTTGTAGGCATATCATATACTGTACTCTGTAGGCCTATCATACCTTGTAGGAATATCATATACTGTACTCTGTAGGCCTATCATACCTTACGTACCTTGTAGGCATATCATATACTGTACTCTGTAGGCCTATCATACCTTACGTACCTTGTAGGCATATCATATACTGTACTCTGTAGGCCTATCATACCTTACGTACCTTGTAGGCATATCATATACTGTACTCTGTAGGCCTATCATACCTTACGTATATTGTAGGCATATCATACCTTACGTATATTGTAGGCATATCATATACTGTACTCTGTAGGCCTATCATACCTTACGTATATTGTAGGCATATCATACCTTACGTATATTGTAGGCATATCATATACTGTACTCTGTAGGCCTATCATACCTTACGTATATTGTAGGCATATCATACCTTACGTATATTGTAGGCATATCATATACTGTACTCTGTAGGCCTATCATACCTTACGTATATTGTAGGCATATCATATACTGTACTCTGTAGGCCTATCATACCTTACGTATATTGTAGGCATATCATATACTGTACTCTGTAGGCCTATCATACCTTACATACATTGTAGGCATATCATACCTTATTGTACCATGTAGGCCTATCATATCTTACTGTACCTTGTAAGCCTATCATACCTTACCATGTAGGCCTCCAGGCTGAAACCAATACCTGCCTAACCCCTGGCCACATGTCAATAATCTTATCCAACATAATAACAATAATAAGAATACATTTTTATTTGTATACCGCTTTTCATTACAGTGTTATCTCAATGCTCTACATAGGCATGAAAATAACCTATCAAAACATAATGCATTTAGAATCAAGGCAGGAAATAGGAATAGTAGGCTAGGTGCTAAAAGTACTTTCCAGATTAGATTTTAAAAGTTCAGATTGAGCCGCTCTCAAATGGTCAGGGAGAACATTCCATAGGCAAGGGGCAAGGCAGAAGAAGGCTCGGTCCCCCATAGTACGGAGATGTGTCTGTGGTACTTGAAGCAGTGGTGAGTTGATGGAGCGGAAAGTGCGAGTTGGCTCATTGATAAAAATGTGGTCACTGATATCGGTGGGACTCAATCCATTCAAGACTTTAAACACTAGGAGGAGGATTTTATAGTCAGTCCTATAGTTGACCGGTAGCGAGTGGAGTTCAGTAAGGATGGGGGTGATGTGGGCTGACTTCTTGGTCCTGGTCAGGACTCTGGCAGCACTATTATGGAGGAGATGTAGCCTCTGAAGGGATTTGGCTGGAAGGCCCCTGAACAGAGTATTGCCGTAGTTGATCTGGGACGAGTTTCTCTGCATCTGGCTTGGAGAGCAATGGTTTGAGCTGGGCAAAAAAGTATGCTTTTCAGATATATTTTATATGGGTATCAAAGGACAGAGAAGGATCAAAATTAACTCCCAGGTTCGATATATGTTTATAATACTTTTGTTTCATTACTGTCAATGATTATTGGCCAGTTTATGAGTAATGGACACAATATTAAAGATTAGGCCACTTGATAGGCTAGATATTAAAGACTGAAAAACAAAGTAAAAAGAAATGGTACACAACATTGTATACACACAGTAGTGCATAGTAACTACATAGCAATAATCTAGAAAATGAATTTGGTGAATGAATGGTGACTATCTTCCCTCTGTCTCCTTCAGAGGATGGCGTCTCCTTCGCTGGCTCGGTTGTCGGGGACAAGTCCGACACCCTCGGCTCTGCTGCCTCGGGCAAGAAGAGAGGTGGAGGACAGAAGAAGCAGATGCAAGCCAACAAATCTGCTCTCCGAGCTCCTCGAGCGCTCTGCTGCCTCACCCTCAGTAACCCCATCCGCATGGCCGCCTTGGCCCTTGTTGAATGGAAATATCCTTCAATGATGATGTACAGTTGAAGTCGGAAGTTTACATACACCTTAGCCAAATACATTTAAACTCAGTTTTTCACAATTCCTGACTTTTAATCCTAGTAAAAATTCCCTGTCTTAGGTCAGTTAGGATCACCACTTTATTTTAAGAATGTGAAATGTCAGAATAATAGTAGAGATAATGATTATTTTCAGCTTTTATTTCTTTCATCACATTCCCAGTGGGTCAGAAGTTTACATATACTCAATTAGTATTTGGTAGCATAGCCTTTAAATTGTTTAACTTGGGTCAAACCTGTCGCGTAGCCTTCCACAAGCTTCCCACAATAAGTTGGGTGAATTTTGGCCCATTCCTCCTGACAGAGCTGGTGTAACTGAGTCAGGTTTGTAGGCCTCCTTGCTCGCACACGCTTTTTCAGTTCTGCCCACAAATGTTCTATAGGATTGAGGTCAGGGCTTTGTGATGGCCACTCCAATACCTTGACTTTGTTGTCCTTAAGCCTTTTTGCCACAACTTTGGAAGTATGCTTGGGGTCATTGTCCATTTGGAAGACCCATTTGCGACCAAGCTTTAACTTCCTGACTGATGTCGCTTCAATATATCCACATTATTTTCCTTCCTCATGATGTCATCTATTTTGTGAAGTGCACCAGTCCCTCCTGCAGTCCCCCCACAGCATGATGCTGCCACCCCCGTGCTTCACGGTTGAGATGGTGTTCTTCGGCTTGCAAGCCACCGCCTTTTTCCTCCAAACATAACGATGGTCATTATGGCCAAACAGTTCTATTTTTGTTTAATCAGACCAGAGGACATTTCTCCAAAAAGTACAATCTTCGTCCCCATGTGCAGTTGCAAACCGTAGTCTGGCTTTTTAATGGCGGTTTTGGAGCAGTGGCTTCTTCCTTGCTGAGCGGCCTTTCAGGTTATGTCGATATAGGACTCGTTTTACTGTGGATATAGATACTTTTGTACCTGTTTCCTCCAGCATCTTCACAAGGTCCTTTGCTGTTGTTCTGGGATTGATTTGCACTTTTCGCACCAAAGTACGTTCATCTCTAGGAGACAGAATACGTCTCCTTCCTGAGCGGTATGACGGCTGCGTGGTCCCATGGTGTTTATAGTTGCGTACTATTGTTTGTACAGATGAACGTGGTACCTTCAGGCGTTTGGAAATTGATCCCAAGGATAAAACAGACTTGTGGAGGTCTACAAATCTTTTTCTGAGGTCTTGGCTGATTTATTTTGGGTTTTCCCATGATGTCAAGCAAAGAAGCACTGAGTTTGAAGGTAGGCCTTGAAATACATCCACAGGTACACCTCCAAGCCATGACATAATTTTCTGGAATTTCCAAGCTGTTTAAAGGCACAGTCAATTTAGTGTATGTACACTTCTGACCCACTGGAATTGTGATACAGTGAATTATAAGTGAAATAATCTGTCTGTAAACAATTGTTGGAAAGATTACTTGTGTTATGCACAAAGTAGATGTCCTAACCGAGTGTGTGCATATGTGTATGTACGTGCTTGGGTGCATGTTAAACCCCCTCCTGTGTTGAGAGACCCGATTACAGTTTTTCTCAATTGCATTTTTTGGAACAATGTTGTCGATTTTCAAAACACTGTCCACAAGACACAGAACTCTCTGACCCTTTGCAAAACAGTAAATGTAATGTAAATAGTCAATGTAAAAGTGGCCTTCTCAAAACATAAATACATTAATCAAAACTATATTATACCATCCAAATTGCAAATACATTCATAAAAAAATTGCCTGCAAAAATAATAACGCAATCATACTTATCTCTTGAATCCAAGCAGACAAAACAGAAAGTTCGTCTTTTTTTTTTATCCCAGTAGATCGTACAGTTATGAATATAACAACAGTCCTGTGTAGCTCAGTTGGTAGAGCATGGCGTTTGCAACGCCAGGGTTGTGGGTTCGATTCCCACGGGGGGCCAGTATGAAAAATGTATGCACTCACTAACTGTAAGTCGCTCGGGATAAGAGCGTCTGCTAAATGGCTAAAATGTAAAACTGTTCCCTGAAGGAGGGACTGAGGTATAATATAGTATGGGGAGTCAACGACCAATCATATTCACCTGAAGAAAACTTAAATCATGCCCAATGGGTCAAAAGATGCCGAGCCCTCCCTCGGAAGCCCCACCTTCCTGGCTATAATACTGGGGCTCGCATTCATTTCCTCAATTCAGTACAGCTCTTCAGTGAGCCTAGTCCCCTGACGGTCGGTCACTCAGTATAACATACTATGGGGACATACAATCTGGCTCAGAGGGTACCAAACTAGGAGGCCCACGGCAGCCCAAGCACACACAGGTTCCACCAGCTCCAAAAGAAGCCTGAACTGTCAGAGCCCCATATAGGGAACCAGAACCTGCTGCAAAGTGGCTATGCGCATTGACATGCTGCCACTGCAGCCCAAGTCCATAGACCCCACGGTTCCAAGAACAATACTTACCTTGCAAGCCAGAAATGTCAGAACTCGTACAAGGAACCGCAAGTCCAAAAAAACAGAACACCTGTCGTGACTTGGTAAAGTGCACATGCTCGCTGCATAGCATCAACCAGAGTCGATTAACCACGGAAACCAGAGTCTCAAACCCACCGGAAACCTGCAGTAACCTGGAAACTGTGTACTCGCGCACTGCCACGGTAGCCCAAGGCTCAAACCCACAGGAAACTGTGGTAACCCGTATAAATGCGCAACCTGCGTGCTGCCTAACACTCACTCCCGGACCCAGCCATAAGAACTCTGGGAGCAGTTAGATCCAAGCAATAAAACCTCACAAAGGTATGTGGGGAACCACTCGCTGCAGCACAGATATCACAAATCCTCATGTCCCTGAACAATGAGCACACACACCGCTAGGCAACCAATATCCTTTGCTTTCATATGCCAGGGAGATAGCCTCTACAATCCAATGAGAAAGAATCTGCTTAGAAAGCGCCCTACCCCGAGCTGGATCAGTGAAACAGACAAAAAGTTGCTCACAAACGTGGATATCCCTGCTCCTATCCATGTACGCGCGTAAAGCGCGCACCGGACCCGAGCCATGCAACCTGGAAGCAAATGGAGGAGGTGAGAAAGGGAACACTTTGAAAGCCAGGAACCTGTAAGACATAGGCACCTGTAAGAAAGGGGCTCGTAAGGGCGCACACGCCGACTGTATAGTCATAATCATGTTTGAGGATAAACTCCTAGCCGTAAAAATCAACATTTCAGAGGCGATCATAGAGGAACTGTGCCAGACAGAGCCAGAATGCGACCGTCCTCTGTTGGAACATAAACACATGATTCAGAACTGACTCCAAATAACTTTTCTTGCGATTCACTATGAACCCGAGAGACTGAATATGGGAAACCATATGGGAAACCAGCGTGGCAGTGTGGAGCTTCACCTGTTCCCTCGACTCCACTATGACCAGCCAATAGTCCAGATAGGCCAATACTCTGATCCCCTGGCACCGCACCTGTGCCAAAGCCGCCTCCACCACCATAGAAAAGGTGTGAGGCGATACCTGTTTTTTTTTACACCTTTTTCTCCAGTTGGTAGTTACAGTCTTGTCCCATCGCTGCAACTCCCGTACTGACTCGGGAGAGGTGAAGGCCGAGAGCCATGCATCTGCCGAAACACGACCCCGCCAAGCCGTGCTGCTTCTTGACACACTGCTTCACCTGAAGACCCTTCACCAGCAAACCCAATCTTTCTCACAAAGTCAGCCCGACACCCAATGGAAGTTGAACCCAGCCGGAGACAATGGTCACACGAACTGGTCCGAGCCAAAGCCTCCTGAGCGTGTTTCCAACCCAGACAAACAGGACAGCACTTGTGAGTATCTTTAATTTGGTTGGAGGTTCAAACTTGGCAGGTTTGCCTTTTTTAACTTACACTTACCACTGGCCATCTTACTCAAGGAAGCACTGGCTACACAAGCAGAGCAGAAAGTAGTGGGTTTTTAGCAAACACAAAAATCGATACCAAGATCCAAAACTCACAACATCTAGGGGGACGAGTACTCTCTCCCCAGTAACAGACACCTAAGTCGGAGCCGAATCTCGTAGTCTTTGTGTGCTTGAAAAGTTTGTAAATTGCGTGACACGTTCTTCCTTCAGGCAAGCTGAAGAGCAAGAATTGAGGAAATGAATGCAAGTCCCGGTATTATAGCCAGGAAGGAGAGGCTTCCGAGGGTGGGAGGAACACAACTGATATGAATGTAGAGGCCTCAATCCACACCAAAGCAAACCTCTATAATAGAAGGTTACAATGTTAGAGATGATGACCCAAAGATACTTAGAAAGTAACCCCACTTCATTCTCTACATCTCTGCATGTCAGCAATATTGTACAAAATCATAAAAATGAGACAGTCCCCATTGCATAGATCTTTCCCTATATTGTACAGTACATGGAATGACATTGATGGGGGGATTTCGAAGTTTGTGCAGTATTATTTACTGATTGCAGGAAACAGTGAACACAATTGCACACATTTCTCTTCTAATGAAAAAAATGTCTGTGAACAAAACACCTAACAGTGAATTTTGCATTTACTGATGACATTTGTATTTAAAGTTTTTCAAAAGGTGGTCTAAGATATGTCAGGTACAAAGGAAATAAAACGATCAGAAGTTCTGTAAATGTATTTGAGCATTTGATCGTTGCTGTTCTGCTATAGATATGTTTAAACACAGATCCAATAATTGCTTGTATGCAATTGAGAAAAACTGTAAGTCAATCATGCATTCAATGTGGTGTGTAGTATTTACCCTTAACTATGGTCCTGCAGACCTTTTGATATTTTCATTCTACTTGCTATTTTTGCCAATTGTGTGGCCCTGGGTGTATCTAAACCCTTCCCTGAGGAGGACTCCAATTCGACCAACCACAACCTGGTGAGTTGATGCAAGGCGGCTGATACAGAGGCTGAGGTGTCAATCAGGGAGATCATAGAGGCTGGAGATAGGGTTATTTGGAGTGTTATATAAGGGCCAAACCTGGGTTAAAATAGAGATACTGTATTTGAAATCTTAGCTAATTTAGCTGTGCTTAATTGAGCTTACTTGGCACAATTGAATCAGTGGAATACTCCTTCAAGTAGAAAACCCATCTGGCACTCCTGGCAGGCACAAGCAAATGCTCAAAGTATTTGAACAACTTCAGGAAAGCCTGGAGGCCTTTTGTAAAGTAAGATGTGGCACATCAAAGGGTGGTGTCAAAAGACTAGGGAAAATCCAACAGGTAGACTACAACAGTTTCTGAGAAGTTAGGGGGTGTAATCCTAAAGAATAATGCTGTTAAAGGGGAAATCTGCAGTTGCTACATCCATGTTTTGTCTTATAAATGTATGATATGTACCCATTGATTCCTGAACAATATAACGTATAAATGCCACATTAACTTAGTTCAACTGTCATACCCCATCAGAACCCAAAATATAAGCTTGTTTTAATCCAAAAATAAGTAAACTAATACTTCATAGCCTCAAAACATGGTCAAAACTATAATACTGATATCATGGATGGTCAGTCCTTGTGTAACAGTATTGCTTCTGTCCCTCTCCTTGCCCCAACCTGGGCTTGAACCAGGGACCCTCTGAAGACATCGTCAACAGTCACCCAAGAAGCATAATTATCCATCACTCCACAAAAGCCACAGCCCTTGCAGAGCTGTGATGTAGTGGTGTTGAAGGAGTCAGGCGCAGGAGTGTAAATCACAGAATAACAGGCTTTAATCCGCAAAATACAGGGTTATGCAGAAATGCGTCAAATAAACTCCAGGGCACCAAACAGGTGCACTGGAAAATACAAGGCACACAGGAAAATACTCCGGTCGAACAAAATACACGAGCTCCACCAAGCTTCACTAACCTTCACAATAAACAATCAAGGGGGCAGAGGGAACACTTATACACATACTAATTAGGGGATTAGAATCAGGTGTGTGTGATAACGAGACAAGACAATTGTGATGATGATTGGGGTGGCAGTGGTTAGTACTCCGTTGACGACGAACGCCGAAGCCTGCCCGAACAAGGAGGGGAGGCAGCCTCGGCCGAAGTAGTGTTAGTACCCCCCCCCTTGACGTGCAGCTCCAGCAGTGCGCCGACCCCGGCCTCGAGGACGGCCAGGAGGACGCGGAGCAGGGCGAGCCGGATGGGGACGGTGGAAATCCCGCAACAGGGAGGGATCGAGGATATCCCTCACCGGAACCCAGCACCGTTCCTCCGGACCGTACCCCTCCCACTCCACGAGGTACTGAAAGCCCCCCACCCGATGCCTCAAATCCAGGATGGCACGGACAGAGTACGCCGGGGCCCCCTCGATGTCCAGAGGAGGTGGAGGAACCTCCTGCACCTCAGACTCCTGGAGCGGACCAACCACCACCGGCCTGAGGAGAGACACATGAAACGAGGGGTTAATACTATAATCAAGGGGAAGTAACAACCTAAACATAACCTCGTTGATTCTCCTCAGGACTTTGAACGGCCCCACAAACCGCAGGCTCAGCTTCCGGCATGGCAGGCGGAGGGGCAGATTCCGGGTCGAGAGCCAGACCCGATCCCCTGGTACAAAAACCGGGGCCTCACTGCGGTGACGGTCAGTGTTGGCCTTCTGACGACGCACAGCGCGCTGGAGGTGAACGTGGGCAGCGTCCCATGTCTCCTCCGCGCGCCGAAACCTCGGTCTGGCCTCGGTCTGGCTCTGGTGCCACGGTGCCAGAACCAGTTGGTAACCTAAAACACATTGGAATGGTGTTAGGTTAGTAGAGGAGTGGCGGAGAGAGTTCTGGGCATATTCTGGCCATGGCAAGAACACCGACCACTCCCCCGGCCGGTCCTGGCAGTAGGACCGCAGGAACCTACCCACATCCTGATTTACTCGTTCCACCTGACCATTTGACTCGGGGTGGAACCCAGAGGTCAGGCTGACCGAGACCCCCAGACGTTCCATGAACGCCTTCCAAACCTTGGACGTGAACTGGGGACCTCGGTTGGACACGATATCCTCTGGCACACCGTAGTGCCGGAAGACGTGAGTAAACAGGGCCTCCGCAGTCTGCAGGGCCGTGGGGAGACCGGGCAGAGGAAGGAGGTGGCAAGACTTGGAGAAGCGGTCCACAACGACCAGGATGGTGGTGTTACCTTGGGAGAGGGGAAGATCAGTCAGAAAAGCAATACTAAGATGAGACCATGGTCGTTGTGGAACTGGTAATGGTTGTACCTTACCCGTTGGGAGGAGCCTAGGTGCCTTACTCTGGGCGCACACCGAGCAGGAGGAGACGTACACTCTCACATCCTTAGCCAAGGTAGGCCACCAGTACTTTCCGCTCAAGCAGCGCACTGTATGGCCGATACCTGGGTGACCAGAGGAGGGTGACGTGTGTGCCCAGAAGATCAGACGATCACGGATAAGAGCAGGCACGTACCATAGCCCAGCTGGACACTGCGGTGGAGATGGATCTGTGCGTAATGCCTGCTCTATATCCGCGTCCATACTACCGGCGCCACAATGCAGGAGGCCGGGAGTATGGGGGTGTTGTCTCTGGGCCTCTCCTCTGTGTCATACAGCCGGGACAGTGCGTCTGCCTTCACGTTCTTCGTGTAGCGGAATACACCAGGATGTCATCGATGTAGACCACTACACCGCGACCAAGCATGTCCCGAAACACCTCGTTCACAAAGGACTGGAAAACTGAGGGAGCATTCATCAAACCATAGGGCATCACCAGGTATTCATAATGCCCCGTGGTTGTGCTGAATGCTGTCTTCCACTCATCTCCCTCTCGGATACGCTCCAGGTTGTACGCACCCCTGAGATCTAATTTGGTGAAGAAGCGCGCCCCATGCATTGATTCAATCACTGAAGGAATGAGGGGGAGAGGATGACTAAATCTTATCTTCTCCCTGTTCAGTGGTCGATAATCAATGCATGGGCGCAGACCTCCGTCCTTCTTCTTCACAAAGAAGAAACTTGAGGAGGCGGGTGAAGTGGAGTGACGTATATACCCCTGGCGCAGGGACTCAGTGACATATGTTTCCATAGCCACCGTTTCAGCCTGTGACAGGGGGTATATATGACTCCTGGGAGGTACAGTGTCTACCCGGAGGTTTATCACGCAATCCCCCGCCCGATGAGGTGGTAATTTAGTTGCCTGCGTTTTAGAGAACGCTTGCGCCAGATCGAGGTATTCAGGGGGAATGCGCACGGTGGAGGTACTGTCTGGACTTTCAACCATGGTGACTGGTATCGTGACTTCCGTAACAAACCCGGACCCTATTGGTCGACTATCGAGTGCTCTGTTGGGGAGTGGAATGGATAGGGGAACCAATGAAATGCCTTGACGGCGTGCAAATGCCCTGTCCATAAAGTTCCCAGCTGCGCCTGAATCGACTAGCGCCTTACACTGGGGAACTACCATGTGATCGGGAAAGTGGATAGGTAGGGTACAGTGCGCAACAGAGGGCTCTGAACAAGTGTGGGTGTTCGATACCCGGGGTGATGCGTGAGTGCCCTGCCTGCCGCCTCCAGGCCCAAAAGAATGTTGACTATGACGTGTGGTGTACTGTCGCTTCGTGCCACCAGAGTGGCACTGTCGCTGTTCTCCTCCGCTCTCTCGGCTGGTGGATCCACCCAGCTCCATCTGCTCGGGATCCGAGTCGTCCGGGGTGGAAACGGGCAGACCCCTACCAGGACGTCCTCTGGCTGCCAGCAGGTTGTCCAACCGAATGTCCATGTCCACCAGTTTATTAAAGGACAACATGGTGTCCTGGCAGGCTAGCTCCCGTCGGACGTCCTCCCGCAGATGGCACCGGAATTGGTCGATCAGGGCCCGCTCGTTCCACCCGGACCCCGCTGCCAGTGTCCGAAACTCCAAGGCAAAGTCCTGCGCTGTCCTCGTCCCCTGCCTCAGGTGGACCAGTTGCTCACCCGCCTCTCGACCCTCGGGCGGGTGATCGAAGACCGCCCGAAAGAGGCGAGTGAACTCCCTGTAGTCATCCAACACGGCTTCTCCTTCGTTCCACACCACGTTGGCCCACTCCAGGGCTTTCCCACAGAGGCAGGAAACGAGGACGGACACCTTCTCCCGCTCCGATGGTTCCGGCCTGATGCTGGCAAAGTAAAGCTCCAATTGGAGGAGGAATCCCTGGCACAGCGCCGCCGTCCCATCAAATGCCCGTGGTCGGGATATCTGGATCCCTCCGGGTCCTGGGGTGTAGGTGGCTGGATCCGGTTGGCCAGCTGGTCTCGACAGCATCGTGGAATGCTCCTGGACCCGTGCCACGACTACAGGCATGCGCTCTTCTCCTGCTGACTCCATGAAAGCAGGTGGGTGATTCTGTGATGTAGTGGTGTTGAAGGAGTCAGGCGCAGGAGGGTAAATCACAGAATAACAGGCTTTAATCCGCAAAATAGAGGGTTACGCAGAAATGCGTCAAACACACTCCAGGGCACAAAACAGGTGCACTGGAAAATACAAGGCACACAGGAAAATACTCCCGTCGAACAAAATACACCAGCTCCACCGAGCTTCACTAACCTTCACAATAAACAATCACCCACAAGGACAAGGGGGCAGAGGGAACACTTATACACAGACTAATTAGGGGATTAGAACCAGGTGTTTGTGATAACGAGACAAGACAATTGTGATGATGATTGGGGCGGCAGTGGTTAGTACTCCGGTGACGACGAACGCCGAAGTCTACCCGAACAAGGAGGGGAGGCAGCCTCGGCCGAAGTCGTGACAAGAGCAAGGGAAACAACTACTTCAAGGTCTCAGAGCGAGTGACGTCACCGATTGAAACACTACTAGCGCGCACCGCTAACTAGCTAGCCATTTCACACCGGTTACACATGCGTCCATAGCTCTGTCTCTGAATTTGATAGTGGTTACATTTCTCCAGCCCCATCCCTCAGCTTTTTATTGAAATGGGCGGAGAAGACCCTTTGTAATTGTTTCAACTGCTGATTGCCCCTTTAAAGAGGAAAAGTTGGGGGTCTGACTCAGATCAGGTGACCGTGTGAGGGATAATGATACTTAAACACTGACCATCTGTTCTGTTCCATCCCCACATAAGCCCCTCTGCCCCTCCTCCGTCTCTCTCTGGCAGAGGACATGATCTGATCTGTGATATCTTATAGATTACAATTCCGCCTTAATTTATGTACAGGTAACTGCCAAAATAAAGGAAACACTTGGGTAAATGAGGGATACAAAATATATTGAAAGCTGGTGCTTCCACACATCCCATCATGTCAACAAAACACCAAATGATGGAATTTCTCGAGAAAGAATGGCGTCTCATCCCACCAATAGAGTTCCAGACACTTGTCAAATCTATGCCAAGGCGCACTGAACACAACCTTGCAGATCATCATGCTGGGTCTGTGTAGTCCATCTGCTTGGCTGTGGGGCAGGACATTGTTTGGATAGTACTCTCCTTAAATCCCTTTCTAGATCTTGGAGTAGATCCCTTTATTGGATTGGGACTTGTGGGGAGGAAACTGAGGCTGAAGTCTGACGCTTTACCATAATCTCCCCCCCCCCCCCCCCCCCCCTCTCTACTATAGTGATACACTATGTCTTCATACATTCATTATACTACTATAGCTTATCCTTCTAATCTGTCACATCACCTTGTTTGACCAGGATGATATGGCCAGGTTTTGGCTGCCTTCCTATTCCAGCCTGACATAGAGGCCCAGTGACTGTGTTGCCAGAGATTTGCAGGATTAGGATGCATTTGGCCAAGGGTTATTGACTAGCGCTCTAGTGACAGGCTTATTATGGCTCCTTACTCCTGTGCACAAATGTTGACCTATATATGCCATCAACGTGACAGTGCCTGCCTTCCTTGCCACCCCCACATGCAGTAGATATATCAACATTAAAACAATATATCCCTACATATAATATATTCATTAGGATATTAGTTGGATATTAACCCTGCATAATGAACCTCCACAGACATCTTGTAAAATGTCTTTACCTCATTTTCCCAACAGCTGTCTTTGCTCTTGACTGATTACAGTAAACAGACAAATGAGGAAGTATGTGTATTTGACCATGCTGTCTTCTCAGGAACAAGTAGAGTACATCTTCCTGGTCATCTTCACCATTGAGACCTTCACTAAGATCCTGGCCTATGGCTTGGTTATGCACCCCAGCGCCTACATCCGCAGTGGCTGGAATTTGCTTGATTTTGTCATCGTCGTTGTCGGGTATGTCTCCATTCCACTTCTGTTACCCCCTCCTTTCTATTTACGATGTTTTAGCTGTATTGTTGTGTGCTGACTGTTTGGTTGTTGTTGTGCGGCTGTTGTTGCAGGTTGTTCAGTGTGGTTGCTGAGGGGACGGCCGACCACAAGCCTGGAGATTCCCACCATGCAGCAGGCAAACCAGGAGGACTGGATGTCAAAGCTCTTAGAGCCTTTAGGGTGCTGCGACCCCTTAGACTGGTGTCTGGAGTGCCCAGTAAGTTTGTGTGTGTGTGTGTGTTTATGTGTGTGTGTGTTTCAGTAAAACCCATCTCTCTACTGTGTGTGTGTGTGCGCGCTTGTGTGCATGTGTGTGTGTTTGTGTGTGCTGTGTGTGTGTGTCCAGGTCTCCAGATTGTCTTGAACTCCATCATGAAAGCCATGGTTCCCCTGCTCCACATTGGTCTACTGGTCATGTTTGTCATCATCATCTATGCCATCATCGGTCTGGAGCTCTTCCTCGGCAGGATGCACAAGACCTGTTTCTACATGGGCACTGGTACAAACTCCACTTTTACAACATAATAATAATAATAATAATATAATAATAATAATAATACAATTATACATATATATACACTGCTCAATACTGTACATACACATCCAAACACTATATAACAATGTTACATTTCAGTCATTGTACACAGACAGGGGAAAACAAGTTAGTTACATACTGTAGAGGTTTGTTATCAATTAATGCTTTGGAAGCCTGGATTTTATATGACATCTCCATCTTTTTACAAAGACAAATACATTTGTCACAATGGTTGTCCTCTCTCCCAGAACTGAACGTAGATGATGACCCCACACCATGTGCATTTGCTGGAAATGGGCGGGATTGTGTGGGCAACGGGACAGAGTGCAGAGGACCGTGGGAGGGGCCTAACGGTGGGATCACCAACTTTGACAACATCTTTTTTGCCATGTTGACTGTGTTCCAGTGTATCACCATGGAGGGCTGGACCGATGTGCTCTACTGGGTAACATCAGCCTCTCTTTTTTTCTTGGCTAAAATGGTGCCCTATTCCCTATAGTGCATTACTTTTGACCAGAAACCTGTGGGCACTGTGGACCCTGGTCAAAAGTAGTACACTATTGTACATAGGAAAAAGGGTGCCATTTCAGATGCACACTAGTCCTTTTTTTCTTCCTTTTAGGATCTTAACTTGTAGGTTATTTGAGGTTTGAAAAGGCTTCTGAAGTTTGGAATTTCCACTTTGACATTTCAGACTTGATTTTCCCTTACGAAAAATGTATCAACCCCTACAAAAATTAATTATAATCCACATCATAATTCACATTTCTTGTTGCTGCAGAATAATTTTCCTGCTGTAGCAAACTGGCTCAAATTAAGATCCGACATCTGTACTAATTCTCTCTCTTCATATAAATATGGAACACACCCACTGGGCACACACTGGTGGAATCAACGTTGATTCCAAGTCATTTCAATGAAATGACGTAGAACCAACGTTGAATAGACGTTGAATTGACGTCTATGCCCAGTGGGCAGTGTCTGATTAACAATGCTTCATCTCCCCCTATCTCTCTCTCTGCATTCCTTCAGATGAATGATGCAATTGGCTTTGAGATGCCCTGGGTGTACTTTGTCTCTCTGGTCATCTTTGGCTCGTTTTTCGTACTCAACCTTGTATTGGGAGTGTTGAGCGGGTGAGTGAGTTGAAGTGTGTGTGTATATTTGTCTTGTTTTACATTTGTGTGTGAAGGCCTTGTCCAAGTGTAGGTTGTGTAATGATCCTCTATATGTGTTTGTGTGTGCGTTTGTGTGTGCGTCTGTGTGTGCATGTCTGTGTGCGCAGAGAGTTCTCCAAGGAAAGAGAGAAGGCTGTGGCTCGTGGAGAGCTGCAGGACGCCCAGAATAAGAAGCAGATGGAGGAGGATATGTGTGGCTACATGGACTGGCTCATCGAGGCCGAGGATGTGGATGAGGAAGGAAACAAGCGTATGGTTAACTGACTGACTGACACATATAAATGTACCCACACACAAACCTCGCACCCATATAGTCAACCTTTGTGTCTCCTAACAAGGTGCTGCTGTTGCCAAGAAGAAAATGATGAAGAAGTTTGGCTGGTATAAACACAGCGAGGACGGAGGTATGATGATCTGTCTCTCTCTCACTGTTACTGTCTGTGTACTTGTACTACTTGACTCTCTGTAATCTTAGATGGAAAGCTACTGAGGATGGAAGCTGACTCTATAGCCAGTCCTGTCTGTCATATCTTTAATCTGTGCCTAGAGGACAGTGTTTGTCCTCAGGCCTGGAGGGAAGCCAAAGTCATTCCGCTATCAGCTTGCTGCCAGCTCTTAGCAAACTATTGGACAAAGATGTTGTTTGACCAAATACAATGCTATTTCAAGTTAAGCTGCAGCTGGCCCAGAACAGAGTGGCACGTTTTGCTCTTCATTGTAATCAGAGGGCTAATAACAATACTATGCATGCAAGTCTCTCTTGGACTGACTGCATTGCTTCTTTTTTTATTAAGAAACATTAATTCCAAATTGTTTGCATAGTCAACTTACACACAGCACTGACACACACTTACCCCACCAGACATGCCTCCAGGGGTCTTTTCACAGTCCCCAGGTCCAGAACAAATTCAATGAAATGTACAGTACTATATACAGTAGAGCCATGATTGCATGCAACTCCCTTCTGTCTCATATAGCGCAAGTGAACAACAAACCTGGTTAAAAAACAAACAAATAAAGCAACACCTCACGGCACAACGCCTCTCCCTTATGTGACCTACTTTTTGTGTGTATGTATTGACATGTATATGTAACTGATACACACACACACAAACACACACACTACATGTTAATGTTTTTAAATGTATGTAAATTATAAAGTATTTTGCCTGTTATTGTTCGTTATGTGTCGGATCCCAGTAAGACTAGCTGTCGCCATTGGTGTCGGCTAATGGGGATCCTAATAAAATCATCAACAACAAAAAAATCAAATCTATGGCTCTGCTATGTGTTCAACAGAATCGGATTCAGACTCTGAATTTGGAGCATATTTAGACGACGACAATGGCTGCTGCGCATCTCTTATGTAAGGAAATAAACAAATGTATTTGATTTACATGTTCATTTTCTGTTAATTAGATGTCATTGCTATCAATGGTGTCATGTAATGGTTCTTTCTCCTTTTTTGTAGGGCTAAAATGATGGCCAACAGTTTCTGGTAAGTTGAGCAGGATACCTCTAAGAATATACACAATGTTTTATTTTCAGTTTAAAAAAAGAATGTACACTACACTACAGACCTTTGACAAAGCCTGTTTCTGACCCTTCCACTCCTGACCCTTCCACTCGATATAACATGTCTGCTGTTTCTCTCTTCACTCAGTGACCAGCTATGCCAACTGAACCATGCCTTCCGAAAAAACTGTCGTGTAGCAGTCAAATCCCAGAACTTCTATTGGCTGGTGCTTCTTCTGGTTTTTCTCAACACTGCAGCCAGCGCCTCTGAACACTACGGCCAGCCCAAGTGGCTCACCGAGATGCAGGGTCAGGATTCACTCTCTCTACATCTGTCTGTTCTACTTTCTCTCTCCACCTACTTGTATCTGTTATTTTCTGTTTACTTCCACATGTCCTCCCCCCCTCTCTTTTTCTCTAGGTCATTTTCTCCATAATTCAGCAGGTTGAAATGGTGACATAGACATCAGGAACAATAAATAAATACATAAATCAATACAATAATAACCTTTATCAATAACCTTTATTTTCTCTTGTCTTTCCTTCAGAGCGGGCCAATAAGATCCTGTTGATGTTGTTCACGCTGGAGATGCTGTTGAAGATGTACAGTTTCGGTTTCCAGATCCACTTCTTGGCTCTGTTTAACCGCTTCGACTGCTTCGTGGTGTGTGGTGGCATCCTGGAGACGGTCCTGGTTGAGTTGCAGATCATCCCTCCCATCGGCATCTCTGTGCTGCGCTGTGTCCGCCTGCTCAGGGTGTTCAAAGTGACACGGTAGGTAACTGCTGGCCTGGTCCCAGATTTGTTTGTTCTATCTTTCTAGCTTCAGTAGTTTGGTCCTAGATCTGTTTGTGTTCTCTTGCTCATATTGTCTATGGTCTTGCTAGCTTGGTCAGAGGTCTTGCTAGCTTGATCCCAGATGTGTTTGTGCTGTCTTCCTAGCTTGGTCCCAGATGTGTTTGTGCTGTCTTCCTAGCTTGTTCCCAGATGTGTTTGTGCTGTCTTGCTAGCTTGGTCCCAGATCGGTTTGTGTCGTCTTCCTAGCTTGATCCCAGATGTGTTTGTGCTGTCTTGCTAGCTTGGTCCCAGATCGGTTTGTGTCGTCTTCCTAGCTTGATCCCAGATGTGTTTGTGCTCTCTTCCTAGCTTGGTCCCAGATGTGTTTGTGCTGTCTTCCTAGCTTGGTCACAGATCTGTTTGGGCTGTCTTGCTATCCTGGTCCCACATCTTTCCAGAATACGCTGCTATGCAAATCAAATGTACTTCTGAAATAACTATCTGGAATGTCACTCTCTGCAATTGATTAAATACATTTAATGCATGAATTCCGTATGGAAGGCTACTGTATACCTTGATTCTTTACCTTCAAACACTCCCCTGTTTAGGCACTGGGCAGCCCTGTCAAACCTGGTCAATTCGCTGCTCAACTCCATGAAGGCTATCTGCTCCCTGCTGCTCCTGCTCTTCCTCTTCCTCATCATCTTCTCCCTGCTGGGGATGCAGCTGTTTGGGGGCAAATTCAACTTTGATGAGACTCAGATGAAGAGGAGCACGTTTGACACTTTCCCCCAGGCCCTGCTCACCTGCTTCCAGGTGACTTATACTTCTAATACCCCTCACACTACTATCATGTTCTACATGCATGTGCTTTTCCTTACAAACCGCCCTCTTTCTGTCTGTCTGTCTCGCTCGCTCTCTCTCTCTCTTATCTCTCTTCTCTTCTCGTCTCTATCTCTCTATCTATCTCTCTCCTCTCTCCTCTCTCTCTCTCTCTGCTGCCCCCCCCCCCCTCTCCCTCTCTCTCTCTCCCTCTAACCCTTTCTCCTCTGTAGATCCTTACAGGAGAGGACTGGAATGCAGTAATGTATGATGGGATCATGGCTTATGGCGGGCCAGTCTTCCCACAGATGATCGTGTGCATCTACTTTGTCTCCCTCTTTGTTGTCGGTAACTGTATCCTTTCTGTTTACCAAGACAGAGCGTTGGTTAATCTATAATCCGCATTTGTACAAAGCCATTCAATGTACACAAACCTCTATCAAGAGGTACTCTAGAAGATACAAACTGTACTCTACAAGATCTGTATTCACTGATGTTCTCAAGCTCTTGGTCAGTTCCTTAATATCTCTTGATCAGATATCCTGCTCAATGTCTTCTTGGCTATCGCTGTGGACAACTTGGCAGGAGATGGTGGAAAAAAGAAAGTAGAGTAAGTATCACAAAAAGCAGACAAAGAAAAGCTATCATTTGATGGTCTGGGCTTAGTACTGGACATAGCTAAGTAGCATCAGTAATAAAGATGATATGTAGATGGCGAACCAAGACCAAGTGCTGAACGAATGGTTTTGCAGAGAGAAAAAGGAGGAGGAAGAGGACTGGGACGAAGATGATGACAAAGAGGAAGATGCGGCGGTATGTACCTACAGTGAGGGAAAAAAGTATTTGATCCCCTGCTGATTTTGTACGTTTGCCCACTGACAAAGACATGAGCGACAGAATAACAACAAAAAAATCCAGAAAAACGCATGTCAAGAATGTTATAAATTCATTTGCATTTTAATGAGGGAAAAAAGTTTTGGACCCCTCTGCAAACATGACTTAGTACTTGGTGGCAAAACCCTTGTTGGCAATCACAAAGGTCAGATGTTTCTTGTAGTTGGCCACCAGGTTTGCACACATCTCAGGAGGGATTTTGTCCCACTCCTCTTTGCAGATCTTCTCCAAGTCATTAAGGTTTCGAGGCTGACGTTTGGCAACTCGAACCTTCAGCTCCCTCCACAGATTTTCTATGGGATTAAGGTCTGGAGACTGGCTAGGCCACTCCAGGACCTTAATGTGCTTCTTCTCCTTTGTTGCCTTGGCCGTGTGTTTTGGGTCATTGTCATGCTGGAATACCCATCCATAACCCATTTTCAATGTCCTGGCTGAGGGAAGGAGGTTCTCACCCAAGATTTGACGGTACATGGCCCCGTCCATCGTCCCTTTGATGCGGTGAAGTTGTCCTGTCCCATTAGCAGAAAAACACCCCTAAATATTAATGTTTCCACCTCCATGTTTGACGGTGGGGATGGTATTCTTGGGGTCATAGGCAGCATTCCTCCTCCTCCAAACACGGCGAGTTGAGTTGATGCCAAAGAGCTCGATTTTGGTCTCATCTGACCACAACACTTTCACCCAATTCTCCTCTGAATCATTCAGATGTTCATTGGCAAACTTTAGACGGGCCTGTATATGTGCTTTCTTGAGCAGGGGGACCTTGCAGGATTTCAGTCCTTCACGGCGTAGTGTGTTACCAATTGTTTTCTTGGTGACTATGGTCCCAGCTGCCTTGAGATCATTGACAAGATCCTCCCGTGTAGTTCTGGGCTGATTCCTCACTGTTCTCATGATCATTGCAGCTCCACGAGGTGAGATCTTGCATGGAGCCCCAGGCCGAGGGAGATTGACAGTTATTTTGTGTTTCTTCCATTTGCCAATAAGCGCGCCCATTCCAGCCTTGTGTAGGTCTACAATATTGTCCCTGACATCCTTGGAGAGCTCTTTGGTCTTGGCCATGGTGGAGTGTTTGGAATCTGATTGATTGATTGCTTCTGTGGACAGGTGTCTTTTATACAGGTAACAAACTGAGATTAGGAGCACTCCCTTTAAGGGTGTGCTCCTAATCTCAGCTCGTTACCTGTATAAAAGACACCTGGGAGCCAGAAATCTTTCTGATTGAGAGGGGGTCAAATACTTATTTCCCTCATTAAAATACAAATCCATTTATAACATTTTTGACATGCGTTTTTGTTGTTGTTATTCTGTCTCTCACTGTTCAAATAAACCTACCATTAAAATTATAGGCTGATCATTTCTTTGTCAGTGGGCAAACGTACAAAATCAGCAGGGGATCAAATACATTTTTTCCCTCACTGTAGATGTTGTTTCAGGGGACAAATACACTGCAATATTTTCTACAGCAGCTACCTTCTCCAAATGATAATGGTTCATGAGTGTCTGTGATCCTCAGTGTTTTAAAGATAAAATATATTATCATGTTTGCATTTCTTTTGCTCACTCTTTCCTTGTCAGAATGAGATGGATGACTGGGAGGAGAACGAGGAGTTGAGAGCCATCGAGGGTCTGGAGGGTAAGTGTCGTTCCATACACCTCAGAGAGATTCTCATCAGACTGTGTGACACATTCAATGTTCTCTAAATCCGCTGATCTGATTAACTCCCGTCTCTCTCTAGGAATTATGCCTGTGAAGCCTGAATTTTCCGCTCCAAAAGAGAAGATTGAACCCATTCCAGATGGTAGCTCCTTCTTCATTCTTGGAAAGAGAAACTGGTAAGTCACAGCCACAGAGCCGTATGGGCCCTGGTCAAAAGTAGTGCACTATATAGGGAATTGTGTGCCATTTCAGAGCACCCATATAATTAGCATGGTCTCTCCTCTCCCCTCAGCCTCCGAGTGGCCTGTCACAACCTCATCCACCACTCCTACTTCACCAACCTCATCCTCGTCTTCATCATCGCCAGTAGCATTTCTCTGGCTGCTGAGGATCCAATCAGAGCTCACTCCTTTAGGAACAACGTAAGGCAAACAGACAAAGAAACAAAATACCCTCTCCTCGGCCAACAGTCAGTCCCGACCTCACAACCAAGCACTACCGCCCAATCAATATACAGTCCATCCACATTTTGTAACATTACAGCCTTATTCTAAAATGGATTAAATCCTTTTTTCCCCTCATCAATCTACACACAATACCCATAATGACAAAGCAAAAACAGGTTTTTAGATTTTTTTGCAAATGTATTACAAAGAAAAAACTAAAATATCACATTTACATAAGTATTCATACCCTTTACTCAGTACTTTGTTGAAGCACCTTTGGCAGCTATTACAGCCTCGAGTCTTCTTGGGTATGACACTATAAGCTTGGCACACCCGTATTTGGGGAGTTTCTCCCATTCTCTGCAGATCCTCTCAAGCTCTGTCAGGTTGGATGGGGAGCGTCGCTGCACAGCTATTTTCAGGTTTCTCCAGATCGGGTTCAAGTCCGGGCTCTGGCTGGGCCACTCAAGGACATTCAGAGACTTGTCCCGAAGTCACTCCTGCATTGTCTTGGCTGTGTGATTAGGGTCGTTGTCCTGTTGGAAGGTGAACCTTCGCCCCAGTCTGAGGTCCTGAGCGCTCTGGAGCAGGTTTTCATCAAGGATCTCTCTGTACTTTGCTCTGTTCATCTTTCCCACAATCCTGACTAGTTTCCCAGTCCCTGCCGCTGAAAAACATCCCCACGGCATGATGCTGCCACCACCATGCTTCACCGTAGGGATGGTGCCAGGTTTCCTCCGGACGTGACGCTTGGCATTCAAGCCAAAGAGTTCAATCTTGGTTTCATCAGACCAGAGAATCTTGTTTCTCATGGTCTGAGAGTCCTTTAGGTGCCTTTTGGAAAGCTCCAAGTGGGCTGTCATGTGCCTTTTACTGAGGAGTGGCTTCCGTCTGGCCACTCTACCATAAAGGCCTTATTGGTGGAGTGCTGCAGAGATTGTTGTCCTTCTGGAAGGTTATCCCTTCTCCATAGAGGAACTCTGGAGCTCTGTCAGAGTGACCATCGGGTTCTTGGTCACCTCCCTGACCAAGGCCCTTCTCCCCCGATTGCTCAGTTTGGCCAGCCGGCAGTCAGCTCTAGGAAGAGTCTTGGTGGTTCTAAACTTCTTCCATTTAAGAATGATGGAGGCCACTGTGTTCTTGGGGACCTTCAATGCTGCAGAATTTATTTTATACTCTTACCCAGATATGTGCGTCGACACAATTCTGTCTCGGAGCTCTACGGACAATTCCTTCAACCTCATGGCTTGGATTTTTGCTCTGAAATGCACTGTCAGCTGTGGGACCTTATATAGACAGGTGTGTGCCTTTCCAAATCATGTCCAATCAATTGAGTTTACCACAGGTGGACTCCAATCAAGTTATAGAAACATCTCAAGGATGATCAATGGAAACAGGATGCACCTGAGCTCAATTTCGAGTCTCATAGTAAAGGGTCTGAATACTTATGTAAATAAGGTATTTCTGTTTTTTGTATACATTTGCTAAAATTTCTAAAAACCTGTTTTTGCTTTGTCATTATGGGGTATTGTGTGCAGATTGATGAGGATTTTTATTTATTTAATCCATTTTAGAATAAGGCTGTAACGTAACAAAATGTGGAAAAAGTAATGAGGTCTGAATACTTTCCGAATGCACTGTATAACTGTCATTGAATCTACTGTTCACACTCTCACCCAACTCTGCCATACATCTACCGTCACTGCTCAACAGTTTCAACCAAAGCTACTGTTCTCATACTCACTCACCTTACACCGGCCACCAACAAATAGGGTTTCTATATGGCTGGCATAATCCTGATTTAGGATATCTTGTCTATCCTCAGATGCTTGGCTATGCTGACTATGCATTCACCTCCATATTCACTGTGGAAATCATACTGAAGGTAAAATGTGACCAGATATGAATATATACTTCATTTTGGAATGTTCCTTCATTATGAATTGACAATGTTCTGCATAGGCTATCTTCCCTGCTGCCAGTAGCTCTATTAGGCTGGTGGGAGGAGCTATAAGAGGACAGACTCATTGTAATGTCTGCACTGATATAAATGGAACGGTATCAAACACATCAAACATATGGAAACCGCGTTTGATTCCGTTCCATTTATTCCATTCCGGCCATTACAATGAGCCCATCCTCCTATCACTCCTCCCACCAGCCTCCACTGAGCTTTATGTCCATCTATAAACGTATATAGTAGTGCACATGGCATTGTAAGTGCCATTTAGAATCACCCTTAACTCTTGTGATTTTTCTCCCTCTCTAGGTGACAGTTTTCGGTGCGTTCCTTCATCCTGGATCGTTCTGTAGGAACGCCTTTAACCTCCTGGACCTGCTGGTCGTCAGTGTGTCGCTCGCATCCTTCTTCCTCCAGTGAGTATCTGTCAGAATGTTAGCCAAGCAGGCTCAAACCTCCAGCTTTAAAGCTTGTGCCTGAGATCAAGCAGGGGATCCATTGACAATATGGTACAATAACTATCAACCAACCTTTCCTTGACGATACTGCCTTCCAGAGAATATTCAGAAAAATATTAAATCCACTTTTTGTATCGAGCAGGGTTGGGTAGGTTGCTTTCTAAATGTAATCCATTGCAGTTACTAGTTACCTGTCCGAAATTGTAATCAGTAATGGAACTTTTGGATTACCCAATCTCAGTAACTTAATATGATTACTCTCAGTTACTTTTGAAATGTATGACTAATGAAAATATAAAATTGAAAAAGGATCCATCAAACACATTTCGTGTGTCATCACAGTGGTCTCTGACTTGTGTTCAGACTCGCTCAGGTGGAACAAACTTAAACTTGCGCCTTTTGTTAGTGCTGAAATGAATGTCATTGAGAAAACAGAAAGATGTCATTATGTATATTTTCACAAACATCCCCTCTGAATTGAAAAGTAATCCAAGAAGTAATCTTCTTGTATCTGTAATCTGATTACAATATCTTTGCTGGTAATGTAACAGATTAGTTACTCCTCAACCCTGGTATCGCGTGAGAAATGGCCTCTCACGTGTGTAAATATGTGTTTGTGTTGTTTGGGTCGCTCTGCGTGATGTGCTGTCATCATCTTCTACATGTGGCCACATTGCTTAGAAATGACTAGTTCCTGCAAAGATGTTGTGAAATGCCAGATGTCCAGCAACTCAGATGGTGAGGAACCTCCTCACGAGGTGCAAAAAGTGGATTTAATATTTCTCTGAATATTCTCTGGTTTTTGGAGTTCCACCTGCAACTGGAAACAGAAGTTTGTAAGACACCGGCGCCTTCAGAAACTCTTGATTCTGTCCTGAAAGGGACATTGGAAGGATGATGAACTTTAAGGGAAGAGCAGTTCATCATCCTTCCAATGTCCCTTTCAGGACATAATCAATTCAACTCAATTCAAACTTTATTGTCCTCGCAAATGGGAAATGTAGGCCCTATTGCGTAGCCAGATTATGTATTGTAAGACACAATAAATACAGTATACATAACAATACGCACACACACATGCACACACAGACACAGACACACACAGACACACACACACACACCGATAGCTGATCAAATCTTACTCCATGGACAGTATTGGCCCTGATTATATTGACATAATACTGTAACAGCACTCTCTGCAGGTCAGACAAGAACAGGGCTTTGTGGTTCATTCTCACACTCTTATCTGCTTCTCTTATACTCTCAGTTCCAGCGCTATCTCTGTGGTCAAGATTTTCAGGGTACTCAAAGTGCTCAGGCCTCTTCGAGCCATCAACAGAGCCAAGGGACTCAAGGTAATCATTTGACCACTTTGACCACCTCTCTCTCTCTCTCTCTCTCTCTCTCTCTCTCTCTCTCTCTCTCTCTCTCTCTCTCTCTCTCTCTCTCTCTCTCTCTCTCTCTCTCTTTATCTCTCTTCTCTCTCTCTCTCAAATAACTGTGCAAACGTGGTCTTGTGTCTCTGCTTTTGTTGACAGAATGTAGTGCAGTGCGTGTTTGTGGCAATCAAAACCATCGGAAACATCTTGATCGTCACAACGCTCCTCCAGTTCATGTTTGCTTGTATTGGAGTGCAGCTCTTCAAGGTACTTGGTCATTGCTTTTTGCAGTACTTTGAAAACACTCCGTGTTGTGTCTTCTCATTATAAAGTCATGTGTTTTTCTGCTCTGTGTATTACAGGGCAGATTCTACAGTTGCACTGATGAAGCTAAACACACTCCATATGAGTGCATGTAAGACTTACTTTTTTGTAATTTATTTGTCTTTCTCTAAGCCAAACACCTCACTCAAATTCCTGTCATTACATGCTACAGTATACAGTGGGGAAACAAAGTATTTAGTCAGCCACCAATTGTGCAAGTTCTCCCACTTAAAAAGATGAGAGAGGCCTGTAATTTTCATCATAGGTACACGTCAACTATGACAGACAAATTGAGGGAAAAAAATCCAGAAAATCACATTGTAGGATTTTTAATGAATTTATTTGCAAATTATGGTGGAAAATAAGTATTTGGTCACCTACAAACAAGCAAGATTTCTGGCTCTCACAGACCTGTAACTTCTTCTTTAAGAGGCTCCTCTGTCCTCCACACGTTACCTGTATTAATGGCACCTGTTTGAACTTGTTATCAGTATAAAAGACACCTGTCCACAACCTCAAACAGTCACACTCCAAACTCCACTATGGCCAAGACCAAAGAGCTGTCAAAGGACACCAGAAACAAAATTGTAGACCTGCACCAGGCTGGGAAGACTGAATCTGCAATAGGTACGCAGCTTGGTTTGAAGAAATCAACTGTGGGAGCAATTATTAGGAAATGGAAGACATACAAGACCACTGATAATCTCCCTCGATCTGGGGCTCCACGCAAGATCTCACCCCGTGGGGTCAAAATGATCACAAGAACGGTTAGCAAAAATCCCAGAACCACACGGGGGGGACCTAGTGAATGACCTGCAGAGAGCTGGGACCAAAGTAACAAAGCCTACCATCAGTAACACACTACGCCGCCAGGGACTCAAATCCTGCAGTGCCAGACGTGTCCCCCTGCTTAAGCCAGTACATGTCCAGGCCCGTCTGAAGTTTGCTAGAGTGCATTTGGATGATCCAGAAGAGGATTGGGAGAATGTCATATGGTCAGATGAAACCAAAATAGAACTTTTTGGTAAAAACTCAACTCGTCGTGTTTGGAGGACAAAGAATGCTGAGTTGCATCCAAAGAACACCATACCTACTGTGAAGCATGGGGGTGGAAACATCATGCTTTGGGGCTGTTTTTCTGCAAAGGGACCAGGACGACTGATCCGTGTAAAGGAAAGAATGAATGGGGCCATGTATCGTGAGATTTTGAGTGAAAACCTCCTTCCATCAGCAAGGGCATTGAAGATGAAACGTGGCTGGGTCTTTCAGCATGACAATGATCCCAAACACACCGCCCGGGCAACGAAGGAGTGGCTTCGTAAGAAGCATTTCAAGGTCCTGGAGTGGCCTAGCCAGTCTCCAGATCTCAACCCCATAGAAAATCTTTGGAGGGAGTTGAAAGTCCGTGTTGCCCAGCGACAGCCCCAAAACATCACTGCTCTAGAGGAGATCTGCATGGAGGAATGGGCCAAAATACCAGCAACAGTGTGTGAAAACCTTGTGAAGACTTACAGAAAACGTTTGACCTGTGTCATTGCCAACAAAGGGTATATAACAAAGTATTGAGAAACTTTTGTTATTGACCAAATACTTATTTTCCACCATAATTTGCAAATAAATTCATTAATAATCCTACAATGTGATTTTCTGGATTTCTTTTCTCATTTTGTCTGTCATAGTTGACGTGTACCTATGATGAAAATTACAGGCCTCTCTCATCTTTTTAAGTGGGAGAACTTGCACAATTGGTGGCTGACTAAATACTTTTTTCCCCCACTGTATGTGATTACTAATAAGCATAGCTTTATTTGTGTGTGTGTGTGTGTGTGTGTGTGTGTTTTGTGCTTTAGGGGGACATTTGTGGTGTATAAGGACGGGGATATGAATCACCCTATGGTGAGAGAGAGGATATGGCAAAACAGTGAATTCAACTTTGACAATGTGCTGCAGGGCATGCTGGCCCTGTTCACTGTGTCTACATTTGAAGGCTGGCCACAGTGAGTACCAAGACCATGCATTAGTACATATGCTGACCATCTGTTTATATAGGGAAGCTGTTGTTGTTGTTGTTGTTTTCATCTCTCCCATTATAAACTCTTAGGCTGCTGTACAAGGCCATCGACGCTAATGCTGCGAACCACGGCCCTATTTACAACTACCGCGTGGAAATCTCCATATTCTTCATCATCTACATCATCATCATCGCCTTCTTCATGATGAACATCTTCGTGGGTTTCGTCATCATCACTTTCCGTGAACAGGGAGAATCCGAGTTCAAAAACTGTGAACTGAACAAAAATCAAGTTAGTTATTTTCCTTGATTATTATGACGTTCATCACAATCACAAAGCTACTGTACCTTATTATCACGTGAAAGGCATTCAGTCTACTGAGAATGCGAGTGATCACTTCACTTCCCATCTTCACTGTGTCTCCTGTCCTGCCCTCCACAGAGACAATGTGTACAGTACGCTCTGAAAGCCAAGCCCATCAAGATATATATTCCCAGAAACCCGTCCCAGCTAAAGTTCTGGAAGATCATCGCCTCCAGCCAGTTTGAGTACATCATGTTTGTCTTAATTCTTCTCAACACCCTCACCTTGGCTGTGCAGGTACAATACTGCAGTTCCTACTACACCTAGTCATAATGTATGCATAATGTACACTGAACAGAAATATAAACGCAACATATAAAGTGTTGGTCCCATGTTTCATGAGCTGAAATAAAAGATCCCAGACATTTTCCATACGCACAAAAAGCTTATTTCTCTCACATTTTATGCACAAATGTATTTACATCCCTGTTAGTGAGCATTTCTCCTTTGCCAACTGCAGGAATATCCACCAGAGCTGTTGCCAGAGAATTGAATGTTCATGTTCCTATCATAAGCCACCACCAACTTCGTTTTAGAGAATTTGGCAGTAGGTCCAACTGGCCTCACAACTGCAGACCACATGTATGGCGTCATGTGGGTGAGCGGTTTGCTGATATCAACGTTGTGAACAGAGTGGCCCATGATGGCGGTAGGGTTATGGTGTGGGCAGGCATAAGCTACGGACAACTAACACAATTGCATTTTATCAATGGCAATTTGAATGCACAGAGATAACGTGACGAGATCCTGAGGCCCATTGTCGTGCCATTCATCCGCCGCCATCACCTCATGTTTCAGCATGATAATGCACAGCCCCATGCCGCAAGGATCTGTACACAATTTCTGGAAGCTGAAAATGTCCCAGTTCTTCCATGGCCTGCATACTCACCAGACATGTCACCCATTGAGCATGTTTGGGATGCTCTGGATCGACATGTACGAAATTGTGCTCCAGTTCCTGCCAATATCCAGCAACTTTGCACATACATTGAAGAGGAGTGGGACAACATTCCACAGGCCACAATCAACAGCCTAATCACCTCTATGCGAAGGAGATGTGTCGCGCTGCATGAGGCAAATGGTGGTCACACCAGATACTGACTGGTTTTCTGATACACGCCCCTACCTTTTTTTTAAGGTATCTGTGACCAACAGATGCATATCTGTATTCCCAGTCATGTGACATCCATAGATCAGGGCCTAATGAATGTATTTCTGTCACGATCGTCTGGGTAAGGAGTAGTAGACCAAGGCGCAGCGTGTGAAATAAACATGACTTTATTTAATTAAAGCACGAAAACCAAAACAAAACACGATTCATGAAGTCCACGGTTAAACATACCGTCACGGAACAAAAACCCACAACCACAAGGTGAAAACACACAGTTTAAATATGGCTCCCAATCAGAGATAACGAGCCGACAGCTGACACTCGTTACCTCCGATTGGGAGTCATTGACCAAACCAAGACAACACAACCAAAGACAACCAACCAAAACACAACAAAACGAACACACCCTGGCTCAACATACAAAGTCCCGGAGCCAGAGCGTGACAGTACCCCCCCCTAAAGGCGCGGACTGCGACCGCGCCTCAAAAACCCCAAACAGGGGAGGGCTGGGTGGGTGTTGCTCCTCGGAGGCGGCTCCGGCTCCGGGCTTGACCACCACCCCTCTTCAATCCCCCCGTAGCGCCCCCAGTCCGATCTGACCCAGCTGGTAGGATTTGGACTGACGACGCACACACCTGGCTTGGCGCGTGAGGCAGGAACGGACCGGACCTGGCCGACGATACGCACCCTAGACTTGATGCGTGGATTCGGAACGACCCTCACCAGGCTGACGACTCGTATCCCTGGCTTGGTGCGAGTAGCAGGAATGGGCTGGATCCGGCTGACGGCTCGCACCCTTGGCTTGGTGCGAGTAGCAGGGACGAGCTGAACCAGGCTGACGACTCGCACCCTTGGCTTGGTGCGAGTAGCAGGAACGGGCTGAACCAGGCTGACGACTCGCACCCTTGGCTTGGTGCGAGTAGCAGGAACGGGCTGGACCAGGCCGACGACTCGTACCCCTGGCTTGGTGCGAGTAGCAGGAACAGGCTGGACCAGGTTGACGACTCGCACCCTTGTCTTGGTGCGAGTAGCAGGAACGGGCTGGACCAGGCTGGCGACTCGCACCCCTGGTTTGGTGCGAGTGGCAGGAACAGGCCGGGCTGGGCTGGCGACGCACACCTTAGCCTTAGTACGTGGAGCAGGAACAGGCCGGGCTGGGCTGGCGACGCACACCGTAGGCTTCGTACGTGGAGCAGGAACAGGCCGGGCTGGGCTGGCGACGCACCCCGTAGGCTTGGTGCGTGGAGCAGGAACAGGTCGGGCTGGGCTGGCGACGCACACCGTAGGCTTCTTACGTGGAGCAGGAACAGGCCGGGCTGGGCTGGCGACGCACACCGTAGGCTTCTTACGTGGAGCAGGAACAGGCCGGGCTGGGCTGGCGACGCACACCGTAGGCTTCTTACGTGGAGCAGGAACAGGCCGGGTCGGGCTGGCGACGCGCACCGTAGACTTGGTGCGGGTGGCTGGAACAGGCCGGACCGGGCTGGCGACGCGCACCGTAGACTTGGTGCGGGTGGCAGGAACAGGCCGGGTCGGGCTGGCGACGCGCACCGTAGACTTGGTGCGGGTGGCAGGAACAGGCCGGACCGGGCTGGCGACGCGCACCGTAGGTTTGGTGCGAGTGGCAGGAACAGGCCGGGTCGGGCTGGCGACGCGCACCGTACACTTGGTGCGGGTGGCAGGAACAGGCCGGGCTGGGCTGACAACGCACACCGTAGGTTCTGTGCGTGGAGCAGGAACAGGCCGGGCTGGGCTGGCGACGCACACCGTAGGTTTAGTGCGTGGAGCAGGAACAGGCCGGGCTGGGCTGGCAACGCACCCCGTAGGCTTAGTACGTGGAGCAGGAACCGGCCGGGCTGGACTGGCGACGCACACCGTGGGCTTGGTGCGTGGAGTAGGAACAGGCCGGTCCGTACTGGGAACACACACCACTGGCCTTAACCGGGGATCAGGAACGGGCCGGACCGGACTGGTAACACACCTCAGTCTCTCACGCCGTGCCTCCACTACTTCCCTCCCTCTACTCGCCAATGGCTCCCGTAATCCGGTAGCCTTCTCTCCACGTCTCCCTGTGGCAGCCTCCTGCTGCCCAGCCGCCCAAGCCATGTGCCCCCCCCAAAAAACTTTTTGGGGTTGCTTCTCGTCCTTCCGACGATGACCCTGCTGACGCCGTTGCTCCTCTCTCGCCAGGGCCTTGATCCTCCCCCAAGGTCCCTTGCCCCCGAGCATGTCCTCCCAGGACCACGATTTGCCCACCTGGGCCATCGCCAGCCTCTCGATCTCCTTACCCGGCGCTTCCTCCCATGTCCAGTCTCCTTGCTCCTGGACACGCTGCTTGGTCCTTCTTTGGTGGTCTGGGTAAGGAGTAGTAGACCACGATCGTCTGGGTAAGGAGTAGTAGACCAAGGCGCAGCGTGTGAAATAAACATGACTTTATTTAATTAAAGCACGAAAACCAAAACAAAACACGATTCATGAAGTCCACGGTTAAACATACCGTCACGGAACAAAAACCCACAACCACAAGGTGAAAACACACAGTTTAAATATGGCTCCCAATCAGAGATAACGAGCCGACAGCTGACACTCGTTACCTCCGATTGGGAGTCATTGACCAAACCAAGACAACACAACCAAAGACAACCAACCAAAACACAACAAAACGAACACACCCTGGCTCAACATACAAAGTCCCGGAGCCAGAGCGTGACAATTTCAATTGACTTATTTCCTTATATGAACCGTAACTCAGTAAAATCTTAAAAATTGTTGCATGTTGCTTTTACATTTTTGTTCAGTATATATTACAACAGGAATAAGATTGTAAAGTGTTTTTTAGAAAGTGATTAGAAATACTTTAAATAGTTTATCATGAGGAAGATCAATTATAATTTTTAAATCAATGAAAGGTAATGTATTGCCATGTGTCTCTGTCTTCCCCCTGCAGCATTATGAGCAGTCTAAAACATTCAACGCTGTGATGGACATCCTCAACTTGATCTTCACCGCCCTATTTACCATAGAGATGGTTATCAAGCTTCTGGCTCTCAGAACACATGTGAGTTCAACAGGCTTTCACTGGACACATTTTGATATCAATACTGTGTTCTAATGTTCCATGTTGTAATGTTCCGATACCATGTTCAAGTGTTCCATGCTATTGACTGTGTTTGTGTGTGTCTGTATATCCAGCAATATTTCATTGATGCTTGGAACACCTTTGACGCTCTGATCGTTGTGGGCAGTGTGCTAGACATCATGGTCTCAGAGCTTAGTGTGAGTACTATCTGTCTCTCCTTTAGCAACTTCATGTTACATAATCTCTTGCATCTTCAGCCATTTCTTTACATCAGGCAAACGTGATACTTAGAGAAAATGCTTGGAAGATAGACCTGCAACACTATTTGTGTACAGTTATTCATTGTAACATCTCAAGATCAGTTTAACAAACAAATTGCTTTATAATAGTCTTGTCTAGGGTATGCTACAGTCAGTAAAACTGTAGGATGTTCATATACGTCAGGGCTCTCCAACCCTGTTCCCTGGAAAGCTACCCTCCTGTAGCTTTTCGCTCCAACCTTAGCTTATCAACCAGCAACTTATTAGAATCAGGTGCGCTAGATTAGGGTTGGAATGTAAACCTTAGGACAATAGCTCTGCAGGAACAGGATTGGAGAGCCCTGATATACGATATGATATCGAATGTATATTTTCTGTTTTTTTCTTGTCTCTCTTATCTCCGAAACTTTTCATCAATCCAGGGAGGAGACGAGGATGGAGAAGTAAGACCACGACATGGACACAACTCTCTCTCTCTCTCTCTCTCTCTCTCTCTCTCTCTCTCTCTCTCTCTCTCTCTCTCTCTCTCTCTCTCTCTCTCTCTGTCTTTTTCTCTCTGTCACTCTTACTCATTCATAAAAAAGAAAAACATATTTCCATTACTCTGTGTCTCCATAAATTGTGTGAAAACAAGCTTCTGTTCCCTAAACCTCTGTGTTTCTCCCCAGGCCATCGAGGCCGCAGCCAAAGTAGCAGCTGTAGCCGTACCTGGAGCTCCGCCCGGGGCCAAGAAGGAAAGCGGAAAAGTGTCCATCACATTCTTCCGTTTGTTCCGAGTCTTGCGATTGGTCAAGCTGCTCAGCAAAGGGGAGGGCATTCGAACCCTCCTCTGGACTTTTGTCAAGTCCCTCCAGGTCAGTGATATGCTCAGACAGATGCAAAGACAAACAGACAGAGAGACAGTGATGTATGATTTAGATGTATGTTTATACCTTCCCATCTCTCACAGGCCTTGCCATATGTTGGTCTACTTATTGCCATGATCTTTTTCATCTACGCTGTGATCGGCATGCAGGTGGGTCTCCTCCCATGCATTGTATCCCCCTTCAAAAGTCTTTCAAATGCAGCTGGTGACAATATGGCCAATGCGCTCACCTTTTTCAGACATTTGGAAAGATTGCTATAGATGACAACTCACAAATCAACAGGAACAACAACTTCCAGACCTTCTTCATGTCTGTCCTGCTGCTCTTCAGGTGAGCGCTGCAGGAGAGAGAGAGAAATCTCCTCTCCTCTCCTCTCCTCTCCTCTCCTCTCCTCTCCTCTCCTCTCCTCTCCTCTCCTCTCCTCTCCTCTCCTCTCCTCTCCTCTCCTCTCCTCTCCTAATGTGTGTGCTGTTCCTGTAGGTGTGCCACCGGAGAGCAGTGGCAGGAGATCATGTTGGCAGCATTGCCAGGGAGACGCTGTGACCCCGAGTCAGACTTTGAGCCCGGGGAGGAGAGCATGTGCGGCAGCAACCTGGCCTACATCTACTTCATCAGCTTCTTCATGCTCTGCGCTTTCCTGGTGAGATGGAGGTGGTGTCAGAGGAAGGAGGGGACATCTGTATGTGATAGGTCTCTCTTGCGAAAGAAAAGTTTATCTCAATGAGACCAACCTGTATAAACAAAGGTTAAATAAAGACATGTTGACTGCAGCCATTCTGAAGCAGACCAGGTGTGATCAATACACTCTGTTCCTCTTCTCAGATCATTAACTTGTTCATTGCTGTCATCATGGACAACTTTGAGTACCTGACCAGGGATTGGACTGTACTGGGTACTCATCACCTGGACGAGTTCAAACGAGTCTGGTCGGATTATGACCCAGAGGCCACGTAATAGACCACTCTGTATCTCTTTTTTATTTATTTAAAATAATGTATGTTAATGTAAATGGTCTTAACAACCCAATTAAAAGAAAAAAGATACACTTACCTGTGAAAGATACACATACACATTCTCTCAAAATTGAAAAAGAATAAAAGGGATATCGTCTTTCTTCAGGAAAACTGTCTTTGTCCTCTATCTTCCTTTTTTTCTTTCTCTCTTGTCGTCTATCCCTTTTCCCCATTTGGTCCTTTATTTTGTCCACATTTCCAAAGGCTCGTACTGGAGCTGTGTACATTGTGCTGTTGTTTTTCTGTGTTGCAGGGGTCGAATCAAACATATAGATGTGGTCACTATGCTGCGCAGGATCCAGCCACCCCTTGGTTTTGGCAAATTGTGCCCCCATCGTGTGGCCTGCAAGGTAGGGCAGATCATATTTTAATGTTAAAGGTTGCATAAATGAACAATTTTAATAAACATATTAGCTTGTAGTATTTGTATAATTGAATGTTTGATTTATGTCAGATATTGTGCAGTGAGAATGATATCCTTAAAATTACGTTTTTATTCATCAAAGTCACTCCCACTTAATATATCAAGACAGGCTACATGTCCTACAGTCCCTCTGTACCCATACAAGCCTGTCTAATCTAGCAGATCAGTGGAATTTACTCCCTGAGTCTTGGCTGCCTTTCTTCCTCTTCCTCCTGCCAATCCAATTAACTGCTTACCCCCCCTCCTCCTCCTCCCTTTCTCCCGCTCTTCCTCTCTGACTCTGTTTCATCTGCTTGCTTGTCCTGTCAGAGGCTGGTTGCTATGAATGTGCCGCTGCACAGCGATGGGACAGTCACCTTCAACGCTACCCTGTTTGCGCTGGTCAGAACCTCACTCAAGATCAAGACTGACGGTCAGTCAGCACACACACAGTGTATCATTCACACATAATGATTTAGTGCAGTGGGGCTTGCGGCCTTTACTCCTGTGTTTTTAAAGGTCTTGTGTCTCTCCACTAGGGCCCGTTGACCAAGACAATGAGGAGCTCAGGGCCATCATTAAGAAGATATGGAAGCGGACTAAGCCCAAGCTCCTTGAAGAGGTCATTCCACCCCCTAGAGGTAAACCTAAGGAGGTGCCATTTCAGCCAACTAGACAGAGACTTATTTACTACCTTGTAACCACACAGACCACTCTAATGGTCATTTTAAAGTTACAGAAATACAGGTTTCTTTCTTTATCTCCCTAGGGTATTTTTCCCGTGTTTTTTCTCTTAGTCCTTCTCTATCACTTTCCCATTTGCCTCGACCCTTTGTTTAAAATGTATATTTTTTTCTGTTCTCCTCCTCTGTGGCGATTCTTCCTGACTCAGGGGAAGAGGTGACTTGTGGGAAGTTCTACGCCAGCTTCCTGATCCAGGACTACTTTAAGAAGTTCCGCAAGAGGAAGGAGAGGGAGAGGAAGAAGAAGGGAAAGGACAAGAAAGACTCTCTCCAGGTATCCCAGTTACCTGGCAACACTTGTTGTTAATGTTTGGTGACTGTGTGTGTGTGTGTGTTTGTGTATCACACTTTGTGTGTTTGTGTGTGTCAGGCAGGGCTACGGTCACTGCAGGCACTGGCCCCAGAGTTGCATCTGGCCTTGGCAATGGAGGGAGAGGAGGAGGAGGGTATGGAGGGAGAGTTGGACGAAGACTTTTTCAAAGTAAGTATATCTCCTATTGACTGTCATTAGTGTATCAAAACAGTATGTACTGAAATGATTTGTCTGTTCTATTTTGACATTGATCAAATAAGGAAATATCACATACAGTAGGTAAACATAATAAATGTTTATATAGTATTTACAACAAGAAGCAGTTGACTGTATATTAAAGCTGATCTCTCTGTTTTCCCCTTCCTCCAGAATGAAAATGTTTTTGAAGATCCTGGCACCTCTGCCACCAATACTTTATCCACAACTCCCATGCCAGCTGACATGGAGGAGGGCACCACCACTGTCTTCATGGAGCCCTTCGTCGAGCCCACAATATTCAGCGACGTGGTCACAGAACAGCCATTGACAGCCAGCGAGAGACCAGAATCAACTCTCTCATCCTTTGATGTGGTGATTGAACAGCCCACGAGATCTGAGGCCCTCCCTCCACCAGAAGAAGCACCAGCCCCACCCCCGCCCCACCCACCCCCAGCCCCATCCCCACCAAAGGCCCCATCCCCTCCCCAACCAGCACCAGCCCCATCCCCACCAAAGGCCCCATCCCCACCAAAGGCCCCATCCCCTCCCCAACCAGCACCAGCCCCATCCCCACCAAAAGTTGCTTCTCCACCACAAATGGTTGCCCAAACCCAACCTCAAACAGTGTTAGCCCCACCAGAACCAGAGGCACCTCAAATAGTGTTAGCCCCACCAGAACCAGAGGCACCTCAAATAGTGTTAGCCCCACCAGAACCAGAGGCACCTCAAATAGTGTTAGAGGCAGCCACTGCCACACCTCAACCAGAGCCAGTGATGGAGGGAAGAGGAGGTGAAACTTACGCTGCACAGCAGGTGTACTACCCACAGTACCCAGTGGGCTTGCTAACAAACGATGGGTAAGTGGAAAGGGGAGAGAGGCAGATCTGGGTTAAAGAAGCTCAGTTGAAGAGTGAGAGAGAGTGTGTGAATGTGTGTGTGTGTGTGTGTGTGTGTGTGTGTGTGTGTGTGTGTGTGCATAAGTGTTCCCTTTCCCTTCACAGGTATGTGTATCAAGAGCAACCTGCAGCATTCCATATCCCGTCAGAGTACATGCAGAGTCATGCTCCTAACTTCACCAATGGGAGCGTTGCAGGAGGACCCTACGGCAATGGAAACGGCATGCATGGGAATGGCTACAATGGCGTTATGAATGGTATGAATGGAGGTAGCATGAGTGACTACACCGGCAATGGTTACATAGGAAATGGCTACAGTGGAAATGGCTACAATGGCAACGGATTGGAGCCGTATGTCCGGAGACGTGTTCTTCCTCCCACTCCTGCAGGTAATCATCACGTCAGTCTTTCTCCTCAACACCTGTAGAATCAGTAGAAGTAGAACTAGAAACACCCAGTGACAGTCTTAGTACATTTCCATTTATATTTCCTTCCAGGTCGTAAGCCGCCCTCCTTTAACATCCAGTGTCTGCGGGCACAGCATAGCGTGGGTGACATCCCCATCCCTGGCACGTATGAGAGTAACTCGCCCCCATGCAGATCCAGACTGGTAAGAAACACACACATGCAAAAGAATAGTCAACAAATCCTCACATGAATCAGAGAGACATTTTGATTTTAATGTAATAATATAAATCAAGATTTTAATCATTTTCCTCTTGGCGTTGTCCTCCAGACCCTTGACTCCCGCCGCAACAGTGTCTCCTCCACGTCCTCGGCCTCCTGGGCCAACAATGGAGGAGGACCTGCAGGGTCGATGCCAGGAGCAGGGGTGTCAGCAGCATCATCAGCAGCCGCAAAGAGAGGGCGTCTGCTCTACGCCCCTCTGATGCTGGTGGATGAGGCCGGGGGCACCCAGCAGCTGTGGGGAGACAGGACACAGACCACCTCCAGCCTCCCTGCTGTTGCAACTAGGCCCAGTGGCTGGTACCCTGGAGCCCCAACACTCCCCATGCCCACGCCCCAGAACAGGAGCTACACCAACGGCAGAGTGCCCTCACAGATCAGCCAAAGACTCATAGAGAAGGGCAGTGCTAACAGCCTGGTGGAGTCGGTAAGTGATGAATAAAACAAAACGTCCAGATAAAAGTCAGATAAAAAACCCAAAGCTACATATTGTTTACCGGTAGGCTATACCTTATCTGCCTAATAGTCAGTGGAGGAGTCAAGTGCACTCTAAGCGTCAATAATTTACCACAGAAATAGCTTTGCTTTCCAGAAATGTATATTTGCCTTAGTGAGTCAGTGATTTACACCCCATGAAAGTTCCCCTATTAGAATGTTTATGAATATTCAATAAACACTTGTATGCTGTAGGTTGTTGGGATATGGAACTATATATATAGAGAGAGACTGATAGAGAGATTTGTGTTCACTGTTTCACTACTCTCGTTATTCTCCTACAGATCCTGATATCGGAAGGCTTGGGCCTCTATGCAAGAGACCCAAAATTTGTGAACTTCGCCAAGCGGGAGATCGCTGACGCATGTAACATGACCATTGATGAGATGGAGAACGCAGCCACAGACCTGCTGACCCGTTCTACTGGACAGCCAATAGGACGCTTCGAGGAGGAGCTGGCTGACGAGATGAACTGTGTGATTTCCTACTGAGACTAGAGAGAGGAACAGAGAGGAAGGAAGAGGGAAGGGAAGGAGAGTTGGAGGGAAACGAGATAGAGCTTTACCTCTTTGTCTCCATCAAAATGGGGGGTAAGAATGGTTTCGCAAGCTATTGATCTTAGAATACAGTCTGTGTCTCTTTGATCAGGGTATTTTTCTTTTCCAGATCTTCTTAGTTCATTTGGCTTTGTTGAAAACATCAATGTCTTGAACAAGAGTCTGAAAGAACCATCCTGAATTAGACAGCGTATACAGTACAGAGACCAACTATTGAGGTTTGGCCACAATACTCTTTACACGTTATTCTAATGTAAGAGTGCACTGTACTATAGCCTGCCGAACAGGATTATAATTCGTATTCTACTATGAAGTATTTTATCGCTATTTTCAAATGCTGCATTTTTGCATTGTATTTCCATTTTTGGTACTGTACTAGTATTGCTGTCACTTACACACCCAAATCATAAAATAACTCTGCTAGGGCCATACATTTTAAAAGCTGGCATAAATCAAATATTTTTTTGGAGATATATAGTACCTGTCTATAGTGCAAGTGAGCTCCAGTTGTAACCATAGATAATGAAAATGGGTTTATGTGTGTCATGTCAGTTGCCCAATGAAGCATTAGCAGTAGACTTCTGAACCATGTCATGTCAAATTAGATCGACAGAAACCCCACAGAAGATTCTCATGACAGTCATCTTAATGGTTCCTCTCTAGGTTTCTTCCTATGTTTCTGCCTTTCTAGGGAGTTTTTCCTAGCCACTGTACTTCTACATCTGCATTGCTTGCTCTTTGGGGTTTTAGGCTGGGTTTCTGTATAGCACTTTGTGACATCTGCTGATGTAAAAGGGGCTTCATAAAATACATTTGATTGATTGATTGATTAATCTCCCTCAGTGAGAAACTTTGTAATAGTATTTATGTATATGGTCAAGAGGAATGCAACTTGTAAACTTAAAAAGAACAATTGTTAGATTTGTTTTATTGCGACTGCTAATACTTTGAACTGTCAGGTGTTTATGTGTGTACAGTAATAAAGTGCAATGTACTTTTTCTCAAAGTTGTCATGTAGCTAGTTCATTTAGTAGCAGTAACAGTAAGGCCGGAATTTAATCATGCAGATAGTGGAGACATGGGCTTTTCATAAATAACTGGCATAACACTACATAATTATAGAGGGTGTAACATTTCATGATTTTAAGGAACAAAAAGCATAAAAGAAACACATGAATTGCATAATGATCATTAGTGCCTTAGCAGATGGAGAACATCTATGTTTCCTTGGCCCACTCAGTTCCACATTAGAAACTCCTCTTTAATTACCATGACAACACTTGGCTTAGTGGATGATTTTGTTTTTCAGCAAGGAAGATAAATAAAGACATTTACATTTACATTTACATTTACATTTTAGTCATTGAGCAGACGCTCTTATCCAGAGACTTACAGGAGCAATTAGGGTTAAGTGCCTTGCTCAAGGGCACATTTACGTCATTTAGCAGACGCTCTTATCCAGAGCGACTACAAATTGGTGCATTCACCCTATAGCCAGTGGGATAACCACTTTACAATTATACCTTTTTTTTTTTTTTTGGGGGGGGGGGTGGATGGTTTACTTTATCCTATCCCAGGTGTTCCTTAAAGAGGTGGGGTTTCAAATGTCTCCGGAAGGTGGTGAGTGACTCCGCCGTCCTGGCGTCGTGAGGGAGACGTAAAGAGACGTAAAGACGTATATGACTGGCCATTGTCACGACTTCCTCCGAAGCTGCCTCCTCTCCTTGTTCGGGCAGGCTTCAGCGTTCGTCACCTGCCTTCTAGCCACTGCCGCTCCTCATCTCATCATTCCATTTGTTTTGTCTTGTTTATTACACACACCTGGTTTCAATTCCCCTCATCAGTACCTGTATAAGTGTTCCCTCTGCCCCCTTGTCTTTGTGTGTGATTGTTTATTGTGGAGGTTATATGAGCTCGGTGGAGCTCCTTGTACTTTGTATCGACATATATACGGAATAAACCTTTATTCTGTGGTTTACCCTCCTGCGCCTAACTCCGTCAAAATCACATGCCACAGAATCACAAACCCGCCATGGAGTCAGCAGGAGAAGAGCCCATGCCTGGAGTCGTGGCACGGGTCCACGAGCATTCCATGATGCTAGCCAGCTTGGGAGAAGCGATGGATCGGGTTCTCCAGGTCGTCCAACGCCTGGAGAGGAGAGGACCCGACCCGTCGGGACCAGCTGAGCTACCGGATCCGGCCACCCACACTCCAGCACCCCGAGGGATTCATCTATCCCGACCGAGGGAGTTTGATGGGACGGCTGCCCGCTGCCAGGGATTCCTCCTTTAGCTGGACCTCTACTTGGTGAACATCAGCCCGGCTCCATCGGAGTGGGAGAAGGTGTCCGCCCTCGTCTCCTGCCTCTCGGGGAAAGCCCTGGATTGGGCCAACTGCGTTGGACAACTACGGGGAGTTCGCTCGCCTCTTCCAGGCAGTCTTCGACCACCCGCCCGAAGGACGAGAGGCAGACGAGCGTCTGGTCCAACTGAGGTAGGGTACAAGGACCGCGCAGGACTTCCCCCTGGAGATTCGGACCCTAGCGGCTGGGTCCGGGTGGAACGAGCGGGCCCTGATCGACGGATTCCGGTGCAGCCTGCGAGAGGACGTCCGAAGGGAGCTAGCCTGCCTGGATGCCATGTTAACCTTCGACCAGCTGGTGGACATGGCCATCCGGTTGGACAACCTGCTGGCTGCTAGAGGACATCCTGGGAGTGGCCTGCCCATTTCACCCCCCCACCCCAACTCCGAGTCCGTTCCGATGGAGCTGGGTGGGGCAGCGATCCGGGAGAATGGAGGAGGAAAGCTTCAGTGTCACTCTTGTGGCAGAAGAGGACATTATACTGCACGCTGTCGTCAGGGTTCTTTCGGGTCTGGAGGCGGCAGGCAGGGCACTCTTGCATCACCGCAGGTAGCGCAAACCCACACTCGGTCAGAGCCCTCTGCTGCACACTGCACAATATACGTCACCTTCCCTGAATACCCCGTAGTTTCCCAGTGTAAGGTCTGGTCGATTCAGGCACAGGTGGGAACTTTATGGACAGGTAGTTAGCTCTAAGTCTAGGTATTCCATTGGTTCCCCTATCCACTCCACTGCCCAATGAAGCACTTGACAGTTGACCATTAGGGTCAGGGTTCATTAGGGAAATTATAGCTCCAGTCACAATAGTGAGGACCCATAGAGAGCATGTCACATTTTTTTATTATTTTGTCCCCTGATTTCCCTGTTGTGTTGGGTCTTCCCTGGTTAGCACTACACAACCCCACCTTTCATGGCCGCAGAGGGTTCTCACGGGGTGGTCGCGAGAGTGTCAGGGTAGGTGCCTAGCTGTTTCCGTTGGTGCAACCACGGTGGAAAGTCCAGATACTTCCTCCACTCTGCGCATCCCCCCCGAATACCTCGATTTGGCGCACGCGTTTTCCAAAACGCAGGCGACCACATTACCACCTCATCGGGGCAGGGGGGATTGCGCGATAAACCTATGAGTAGACGCTGTGCCCCCCAGGAGTCATGTATATCCCCTGTCGCATGCTGAAACGGAGGCGATGGAGACAAGCGCCAGGGGTTCATACTTCTCTCCACTTTGCCCGCCTACTGAAGTTTCTTTTTTGCGAATAAGAAAGACGGAGGTCTGCGCCCGTGCATTGATTACCAAGCATTGAACAAGGGGACAATATGTTATAGTTATCCTCTGCCCCTCATCCCATCTGTGATCGAGTCAATGCATAGGGCGTGCTTTTTCACAAAATTAGATCTCCGGAGTGCGTATAACCTGGTGCGGGTCCGAGAGGGGTACGAATGGAAGACAGCATTCAGCACAACTACGGGGCATTACGAATACCTGGTGATGCCATACGGTTTCCATAATGCTCCATCCGTTTTCCAGTCCTTTGTGAATGAGGTGTTTCGGGACATGCTTGGTCATGGTGTAGTGGTCTACATCGGTGACATTCTGGTTCCGCTACGCGCGCCGAGCATGTGTCCCTGGTTCGCAAAGTGCTGGGCCGACTGTTGGAAAATGACCTTTATGCCAAGGCAGAGAAGTGTCTGTTTTTCCAGCAGTCCGTCTCCTTCCTCGGATACAGCATTACCACCTAAGGTGTGGAGATGGAGGGAGATCGCATTTCAGCTGTGCGTAATTGGCCGACTCCAACCACGGTAAAGGAGGTGCAGAGCTTTGCCAACTACTATCGGAGGTTTATCCGGGGCTTTGGCAAGGTCACAGCTCCCATCACATCTCTGTTGAAGGGTGGGCCGTCCCGGCTCTGCTGGTCTGCTGAGGTTGACAGGGCCTTCAGTAACCTGAGGGTTCTTTTCACCTCAGCCCCGGTACCGGCCCATCCCGATCCATCACTACCGTTCGTAGTGGAGGTGGATGCGTCGGAGGTAGGGATAGGTGCTGTCCTGTCTCAACACTCGGGGCACGCCACCCAAGCTCTGCCCCTGTGCCTTCTTCTCCAAGAAGCTCAGCCCGGCGGAGCAAAACTATGACGTTGGTGATGGGAGCAGTTGGCTGTAGACAGAGCCCTGACAGTGTGGAGGCACTGGCTCGAGGGGGTGAAACACCCTTTCTTCGTCTGGACGGACAACCGTAACCTCGAGTACAGCCGGGCAGCGAGGAGGCTAACCCTCGCCAGGCCAGGTGGGCCCTAATCTTCACCTGGTTTGAGTTTACTCTGTCATACATCCCAGGTACGCAGAACGTGAAGGCAGACGCGCTGTCACGACTGTACGACACAGAGGAGGGCCCATAGACCCCACCCCCATACTCCTGGCCTCCTAAATTGTGGCGGCGGTAGTATGGGCGATGGACGTGGACATAGAGCGGGCGGTACGCACAGAGCCATCTCCACCTCAATGTCCAGCTGGGCTGCAGTAGGTGCCATCTCTTGTCCGTGACCATCTGATCTATTGGGCCCACACGTCTCCCTCCTCTGGTCACCCAGGAATCGGTCGATTTACCCTCCTGCGCCTGACTCCATCCAAATCACACGCCACAGCCATATTTTACTGAGAAACATGGTCATGGCTAAAAAGGATACATACAGCTTTTGTCAAATTAACATCAAAAGTAGTTTTTTGTATATTAGCTAATCCTAACTCTTTTCCTAACCTTAACCTAATTATCCTAACTTGCTACACTCTAAGAATGAGGGGTTCAAAAAGGTTTCTTCTAAGATCCTCAAAGTTCCTTGAAGAACCTTAGGGTTCTTGGCACTGAAAAATGCCCCCAAAACGTTCTTCCAAGAACCCCATAGGGGATGGGATTAATTGAGGAATCTCTAGTTCTTGGGGGTTCTTGCAGGAACCTTTTAAAAAAAAAAAAGTGTTTTTACTTCACCTTTATTTAACCAAGTAGGCCAGTTGAGAACAAGTTCTCATTTACAACTGCGACCTGGCCAAGATAAAGCAAAGCAGTGTGATTAAAAACAACAACAGAGTTACACATGGGATAAAACAAAACATACAGTCAATAACACAATAGAAAATATATATACAGTGTGTGCAAATGTAGCAAGTTATGGATGTAAGGCAATAAATAGGCCATAGTGCAAAATAATTACAATTTAGTATTAACACTGGAGTGATCGATGTGCAGAAGATGTGCAAATAGAGATACTGGGGTGCAAATTAGCAAAATAAATAACAATATGGGGATGAGGTAGTTGGGTGGGCTAATTACAGATGGGCTGTGTACAGGTGCAGTGATCGGTAAATTGATCTGACAACTGATGCTTAAAGTTAGTGAGGAAGATAAGTCTCCAGCTTCAGAGATTTTTGCAGTTCGTTCCAGTCATTAGCAGCAGAGAACTGGAAGGAATGGCGGCCAAAGGAGGTGTTGGCTTTGGGGATGACCAGTGAGATATACCTGCTGGAGCGCATACTACGGGTGGGTGTTGCTATGGTGACCAATGAGTTAAGATAAGGCGGGGATTTGCCTAGCAGTGATTTATAGATGACCTGGAGACAGTGGGTTTTCCAACGAATATGTAGTGAGGGCCAGCCAACGAGAGCATACAGGTCACAATGGTGGGTAGTATATGGGGCTTTGGTGACAACGGATGGCACTGTGATAGACTACCTCCAATTTGCTGAGTAGAGTGTTGGAGGCTATTTTGTAAATGACATCGCCAAAGTCAAGGATCGGTAGGATAGTCAGTTTTACGAGGGCATGTTTGGCAGCATGAGTGAAGGAGGCTTTGTTGCAAAATAGGAAGCCGATTCTAGATTTAACTTTGGATTGGAGATGCTTAATGTGAGTCTGGAAGGAGAGTTTACGGTCTAACCAGTGTTAAGTTGCGTCAATTCAAATCTGGTATTAGGAACAAAAGAGGTCAATACACGTCTTCTAAAATAGACTAGTATTTTAATTAATGCAAACCACTTCAATGGTAAATATGATGTTCGTATATACGGGTCCACTGAAATACCGGGCACTCAGAGGGCACTCAGAGAACTAAGCCATTGTTATGAGTTCTTCTTAAAATACTCTGACAGAGATAGTTCCCGCTCCCTGCTGGCCAATCAGAGTAGAGACTGAGCGTGGTTTAGACTTACTCAGCCTATCCGTTGGCGCACAGGCTGGTCCCAGCCCCTTGGCGCTCCACTGTTGCCAGGCATAAGTTGTTATCATCACAACCTGTAGAGTCAGCACCCATAGACACTGTTCCCCTGAACCTACGTCCTTGAGCGCGGTTTAACAAAGAGGCAGTGTTCGTGTCTGTGAGAAATACAAGTCTTATCTCATCCTACCCCCTAACGTTCCTGACATGAATCACAGCTTGTTATGTGAAACAATTTATATCAGTACAGTACAAACCCATTATGTTTAATCATTAATGCATTCCTTCTAAGCTAGTCATCACATCTAGATCCCCACACCAGACACCTAGGTATTTGTAGTTATTTGTAGTGATTCTAGTCGGGCGGGCGGGTGCAAGCAGTGTTCGCTTGAAGAGCATGCATTTAGTTTTACTAGCGTTTAAGAGCAGTTGGAGGCTACGGAAGGAGTGTTGTATGGCATTGAAGCTCGTTTGGAGGTTTGTTAACACAGTGTCCAATGAAGGGCCAGATGTATACAAAATGGTGTCGTCTGCGTAGAGGTGGATCTGAGAGTCACCAGCAGCAAGAGCGACATCATTGATATACACAGAGAATAGAGTCGGCCCAATAATTGAACCCTGTGGCACCCCCATAGAGACTGCCAGAGGTCCAGACAACAGGCCCTCAGATTTGACACATCTCTATCTGAGAAGTAGTTGGTGAACCAGGCGAGGCAATCATTTGAGAAACCAAGGCTATTTAGTCTGCCGATAAGAATGTGGTGATTGACAGAGTCTAAAGCCTTGGCCAGGTCGATGAAGACGGCTGCACAGTACTGTCTTTTATCGATTGCGGTTATAATACCTAACTGAAATATTTTGATTTGAATTTGAGAGGACAGCAGGTGCAGACACCTAACTGAAAAATGTAAAGATGTCCTCAATTTAAGGTAAGGTTTCTCCCTTTATGATCTTAATTGATATTGTTTTATGATAGGCCTACCATCTATCTTTTCATATTTGTGCAAATGACTGTGCTATTTGACACTTTCTCATTTTAAAAACAGAACATGGACACAATTCAATGGATATGAATCAACAACAAGGTAAGAATATGTTAAAGGCTATAGTTGTATTGGGCGCAGATGACTGAACTGCTCACTTTTTTAGTTGTCTGTCTGCATACAGGTATACTGACAAGGAGGCACACAAAGGTATGTACAATTTGTATTGGTTTGTCTCATAATGTTATGCAGATCACATGCATCAGCTACAATTAATTTGAATTAATGGTTTCTCTAAAACCTTATGACTCAGTCACAGCGGCCATCTTCCTCCTCCCTGACCTCTTCAATGAAGATCACAGATGGCCTCTACATTATGGACAAGGTATGTGTTACGAACCCCGTGGCTTTAAAAATCTAGGGTGGATGGAAAAGAGACCCGTAACATAACTCATGCAAATTAGAATAGTGACACAGAAACAGTGAGAACAAAAATACACCGACAACCATAAACTACCGTCAAACACAAAATGTTTATTATGAACACACAGTAAAGGTTTGGGAAAAAGGGCTGAGCAGGACCCAAGGAATGAAACAATAATGTCAAAAACCCCTAAACTGATCTTGCCTGCCTCAAGAACCGCTAAGCTACTGCTAACCATACAAAAATACAGTGGGTGGTCCGCTCAGGTCTAACTAGTGTTTTTAGACAATGTTCTTTCTACAGGTAATGTATACCCATGGGCAACTTGCTAAATCCCCCTTTTCCCAGGAACACACAACATAGTTACCATATAGAGTAACCAGCAAATTAGTGCGTACACATAAAACAGGACACCACAGTATCCATACTCACAAACGAAAAGAGTCTCTGTCAGCAAATACAACTGACTGGCTTTTAAAACAATGGGAGGTGTGAGTGAAAAACCAGAAACAGGTGGTGCAATGCAGAGGAATGTCCATTGATTGGTCCACCTCAGCAATCAGCAGACAAACGGATGTCGGACAGGTGGGACACCCCAACGACCACCAATCAGGAACACAAAGGACACCTGTGATTAGGGCAGAAGGAGAGGAAAAACACAAAAACACATACAGCATACCTGTATCCGTAACAGTATGTGTATGAAAACTGTTGTCAAAAGTGAACCTTTTTTCATTCACATAATTTTTACCACAAAAAAGAAGATATGAATACTGTTGTGTGCACGTTTTGTTAATCATCTGTATAATTAGATTTTTTTTTTTATTCACAGTCTTCACCCTCCGTTCACCACTGATGAATATATCAGGAAACCTATTCCATCACCATGCACTGCTAAATCATTCTGACCTACAGAGAACAACACGCCAGAGGATATAATGAACCTATTGAACTTGGGGCTGGGAGTGTACCTCATATTTGGGTTTTATATTTCTGCTTTGCCACTAAAATCATAACTAACACTGCCAACTAAAAGATTGTGTTATTATTGTGATTTTATGCTGATTAATAATAATAATAATAATAATAATAATAATAATAATAATTGGGGGGGACAAAAATGAACCCCAAAAGGTTATTTGTGGAACCATTAATGGGGGTTCTTTGAAGAACTTATAGGATAGGGGTTCCCCCACAGTTTCAATTTGAAGAACCCCTAAAGGATCCTACAGGAACCTTTTCTTTTTACAATAATTATCATAACTTTTTTTAAAATTGTTTTACCTGCTGCATAAGTTTTCCTAACCTGGTATGAAAAGTCAAATCTGACAAAGGCTGTATTCCGACTAGTCAAAACCATTACCAGTCACCACCATCATGGTCAGCACCCACTAGTGGAGCTCTTGTTTGATTTCTCACATCATGGACCATGAGCACCCTGTAAGGTGATAAAATATACTGCATTATAATCACATATAATATAGTTATATAAGAATATCAGGCTATTTTAGACCCGTTTTCTGTGATGATGAGACGGCCTTTGGTAGGCTTTATGGTAATCGAACCGGCTTTACAGGCTTATGAGCGTCAACCTGAAGCCCTAAAGCTCAGACTAGTCTTGGCAGTGCAGCTTGATTGCCTCTCCAATATCATGTATAAATACTAAACCTGCCCAGTGCCCACCTCCTAACAAACGTGGTAAAATACGTATGCATGCACACATTTGTGTTGTCTCTCTGTTATCCCTTGTGGCAATCGCTGTAGTATACTAGAATAAAGCAGCCATATGATTGGCCAAGCTGTCGACCTCGTCATTACTGTATGTCCAATTATTTATCTGACGCGTCCACGCTCCAGATGCCCTCGACGAGCTCGTGACGTAATACAGCTATTCCCATCTCTTTACCCTCGTCCCCCCGTGGGCTGTTCCGGATGTAACGCCTCCCTCCCGCCACCTCGCTGATCCTCTTATCTACAAGCAGGCGGCCAAGATGGATGTTGTGAACCAGGTAGGGCTCTGGGATGAAAACCAGCAATATCAATGTTTTCATTTGATTTAGTTAGCTGAAAAGCCATAATTTAGCACTCCTGCAGAATGCGCACTTTGACGGGGTAGCGTTTTGGGGAAAAATAATAGGACATCATTATGATAGGGGTTGCTGTAATTGTAAAGCTGCGGACGGTTAGTCTGAAATACAGTGCTTTCAGTGGTCGACTCGTGAACGAAAAGTGAGCACTGAGCGCAAAACACCGCAATACAGGCATGATAGATTGCATGTGATTTAGCCAATTTTGAACCAGCAATGGACTGGTTCAGTGGAACGGTTGGCTCATAAATAGACCATGGTCCAAAAGTCCAAAGAATTGATCAAGATACCCTGCGCAATATAATTTCAACAGCATTTCAAATAACTCCGACAAATAGGCTTAACACATCCAGGGTATTAGTTGAGGTGAAAGCTATTGGTTGTAGGCTATATGAAGAGATATGCCGTTTCAATTGTGGACACATAAATGGATTGTCTATTTGGAAAGCCTACTTATATTTTTGAATAACTGCTATTGAACTAATAGAATCGTTGACTGGATCTATTTTGAGGGGATTAGTTTTTCTCTCTCAGCCTATGTAGCCTATGGGGTGTGTGCAGAGTATATGCCAGAGCAGAGGCTGAAGTATAGCTGATTAAATATGGAATGAGGATATTTTTTTAACAAAAAAAAAAGCTACAAAACAAGAGATGATGCAAAATAAATGTCTAACTCGTGAAAGAGAAAAGAAACAGAGAGATATGTTTTTTTTAACTGATCTTGCTAAAAATAGAAGAAGCATAGGAATAGCGACAGCCCCTATTTCATCAATACCGCAATATTAGACGTCGTGCTTCTCTTACTACTGTAGCGAGTTATATTATAGGCCTATCAATTTATGAGGGGCGGCAGACCGACTGGGGGTTAAAAATTAGATATTGCGATGTGAATCGATAAGCTAAAGACAGAATCGATAGGCTACAGGCCATCGCTTCTTCAGGGATGCTCACAGACCACCTTCCTTTGCGACTGATGTGTTGCTTTCAACCGCACATGGCAAGGCTTTACAAAGTATAGCCTAAACTATAGGACCAGCTATATCTACTATAGGGCCAACTACTATCGAGGTAACTCGAGATTTTCTTTCTTGTCTAAATTTCTAGTAGAGTGCTTGCTGTCTATCAAGCTTTGGCAAAACAGTGGGATAAGCAGCTTTGTCTAATTCTATGCTGGCAAAGTCTCTATCTCTCTCTGTCTCTCTCGCTCTCGTCTCCCCTAAACGATGTCAGTGCTTTGTCACACGGCCTGTCACGCCCCAAGTCAAAGAATACAATTACTGTACTAGCGAACAAATGGCAGCATGAGAAAATTGATCATATCACCGCCTCCTCCACCGCTCCTGAAATATACATTTAAATTAATTGAAAGGTGCAAACTGTGGAGTAACGACAGATAGGCTATGCTGAAAATGCATGTAGGCCTACACAGCACACACTACAAACGTTCAAAAGACAATTCGTGTCTGTCAGATAACCTAACTATGTGGCCTCTTGCTGGATTGTGCGCACTCACTCGAGTGTTTTAATATTTTTAGAATCTAAGCTGTGGACAAATTCATAAAACAATGTTGATTGTTGATTTCTGTGTTGACAGTTGGTGGCCACCGGGCAGTTTACCATAATCAAACAGCCTTTGGGATTTATGAAAATCCTACAATGGGTAAGTTACTGTTTTCATACAATGTTTAATTCTTTGGCTTCTGATGATGGCCTTATAGTGATGTTGGGCCCCTGTACTGTGTCAGAACGTGTCCTTCTGTCACACAGAGGTCACAAAGCTACGTGAAGCTTTGTGCTCGTGACGACAAACAGGCAGCGCAAGGTGGATGACACTGGCCATCCTCCCACTCGCTGCTTCCTCTCGGTCACCGCAGGCAGGTCTCTTGAAAGCTCGACGTCGTTTCAGTGGTACAATGTTACTGTAAATCGATCATGGTAATTGTTATAAATCTCTCTTCAAACTATCCAGGCCACTGTATTTATGTGTCCTCTCCTGTGGAGTTTGTTGTAGGCCTATCTCATCCACCAGATAATTAACTCACATCACATTAGCCTTTCGCTCTGTAATCTAATCTACAGTATCTTGTGACCACCTCGTGTAGTTAATTCTTTATGTGTTCTGTAGTTGCTCCCTCCTAGTGCTAATCATTTTCACTATCATTTCATGTTTTGGAAGTGGCACATAATTATTGAATAAGCCTACACTGAACTAAAACCTGGGTAGTAGTAGTAGTGGCCATTGCCGTTCCTGCAGCGTCACCTGAAAAAGGCGCTGTCCACTTTCAGGGGTTCTGAAACGTCACTCACGGGGTTCCAAATGACCTCTGTCCATAGTGGTGAATCTGAATCTCCGCTATTTGCTTGTTTGTTTACCTTTACAATTCTTCATGCGACAAAGTCACCACAATGCTCTATTTGTTGTATTGTGCTGCAGCATGACAATCGTTGATGGGCAATTCATGATGAATCTGTGATAAAGCATTCCACACATCAATGTCACAAAATGTACTTCATACATCCACATCAAGGTTTCTGCATGCTTTATGTTCTCTTTATTCAGTAACACTCGAGGCACAGTGTGACCCCTCTGCCAAAGTGTTTTGTGCCAGGGGCTAGAGGTATTCCTCTATGTAGATAGGCTCTCTCAATTGTACAAAGAGGAGTCTACATGGCTGCATTTACACAGGCAGCCCAATTCTGATATTTGTTTCACTAATTGGTATTTTGACCAATCAGATCAGCTCAAAAAAAAAGATCTGATGTGAAAAGATCTGTTGTGATTGGTCAAAATACCAATTAGTGGAAAAAATATCAGGATTCGGGGGGGGGCTTATTGCTGTTGTGCTCTCTCTTGGGAGCTGTGTGCTGATAAAGCCTAGTTTTGATGGATGATGGGAGAAAGCACATCGAAATCTCCCCAAATGAAACTAATGCTGAATAGAGAATGGTTAACCACTGTGTCTACCATAACAACATCCTGCCCCAGGTCACGCTTGGGAACTAGGTTATTTTTGTCTTACAGTTAACTGCTCTGTTACAGTTTACATATTTGCTTTACTGATTCACTAAGTGCATTATTGTACTGTAAGACCAGTTTTTATACTGTGTGGTCAATACAGTAGAGATCTGGGATAATCTGGCCCAGTATTCTATAAGTGGTTCCTGGTGTTGTTGATCATCAAAGCTGCTCATTGTAGGAGTATACAGTGCTGCTTGAACGTATGTGAACCCTACAGAGCTGGTAATTATTTTGCTATAAAATATTAAAATAAACATAAAATCCTTATCTAAACCCCAATTCGTAATAAAGACATTCCAATAAATTACAGAAACACAAAAATATTATCAATTTTCATTGTTTATTTAACAAAAGTGGTTTATTTAACAGAAACTCTGATTTGATGTATGCAAAAATATGTGAACCCCTTCAGTCAATAGCTTGTGGCACCTCCATTAGCAGCGATAACTTGGACTAAACGTTTCCCATAGCCAGTAATCAGTCTCTGACATCTGTTTTCAGGGATTTTTACCAACTCCTCCTTACAGAACTCAGCCAATTGAGTGAGGTTTGAGGGGTGCCTGGCATGAACTGTCCGCTTCAGGTCCTGCCACAGCATCTCGATTGGATTTAGGTCAGAACTTTGACTTGGCCAATCCAAAACACATCTTCTTTCTCCTGAGCCATTCTTTGGTAGATTTGCTTGAATGCTTTGGGTCGTTGTCTTGTTGGAAGACCCATTTTCAGCCCAGCTTTAGCTCCTTGACTGATGGCCTGACGTTCTGTTCAAGAATCTCCTGGTATACCTCAGAATTCATTGTTCAGTTAATGATGTGGAGTCGTCCAGGTCCAGAGGAGGAAAAGTAGCCCCAGTATGAAAATTTATGCACTCACTAACTGTAAGTCGCTCTGGATAAGAGCGTCTGCTAAATGACTAAAATGTAAATCTTGACATTTGGTGGTAGGCAGTGTTGGGTTTTCGCCAAACATAGCGGTGTTGATTGTGACCAAAACGGTCCATTTTGGACTCATCGGTCCAGAGAATGGACCACCAGAAACCTTCAGGTTTGTCCAGGTGGTCTCTGGCAAAGTTAAGACGGGCAGTTTGGTTCTTTTTTGACAGCAGAGGCTTCTTCCTAGCAAACCTCCCATGAATGGCATTTCGATTCAGTGTTCTTACTGTTGAAGCATGCACAGTTACCTGAGATGCAGCAAGGGAGGTCTGCAAATCTCTAGATGTTATGTTTGGGTTGGCTTTTACCTGATTTATTATTGTTCTTGTGGCTCTTGGGGATATTTGGAAGGGCGTCCACTTCTAGGCCGAGTTGCTGTCATGTTAAATGCTCTCTAATTGTAAATTATTTGCCTCACAGTGGACTGATGGAGCTCAAATATTTTTTCGATGATTTTATAGCCTTCCCCAGTCTGATGTGCTCTCACTACACTCGTCCTGATGCCCTCTGAGATCTCCTTTCCTCTCGGCATGGTGTGCTTTGCAATCACCTGAATGGGTAACACCAAACTGACCAGGTTTCTTATCTTTATTTATCAGAGTTCCACCCAAACCCTTTCCTGACGATCTCTCCTTTGATTGGTTCATTTGGTAGCTAAATATTTACCCACCTGATTCTACTTACCTACTTGATTTAACCAATGCAATTTGGGGTTCATTTATTTTTGCACCTGCACTAATTCCTTTTTAATTTAGTTTTTCTACTACATGCATGATTTCCTCCACACCAACATATGGTATTGGTAAATATAAACCTGTTATGTCAGATCAAAAATACTGGTTCTGATTAAATGAAGATTCCATGGTAAAAACTGAACAAATCTGTAATTGCACAAGGGGTTCACATACTTTCAAGAAGCACTGTATATGGTAAGGAGTTTACATGTTAAACCTTTGCAAACTCATTGCCAGGGCTCTCTGCCCACTCGTCTGCCCCTGGCTTAGAGGAGGTGTGATTGGTTGAAGCTCTCATACTTTGGATTCCTGCCAAACTCTGAGACAGAAAGACACTGGAGAGCATACATACAGTACTTACATGGTGATGGATAGACTTGTGGTCCTACAACATCCATTTATGCTTGTGTATCAATCAATGTATTAAGTTCAGTTATTCATTTACTTGAGTTAATTTTGGAATACCTGTGGTTTTCAGTCTTGTCGGACTCGGCTATAAAATAAGCAGGTATTTATAAATGCTGCTGATTCTAACTCCAAGAGTGTGTGTGTATGAGTGCACTTCTGGGTTTGCTTTTATGCATGTGCGTGTTTGTGCCTGCTTGAAATGTGGTAGTGTGTCAGTGGATTTATGTGAGAGACTGCAACATTTACCATGTTAGTGGGAACATAGAAATAGAATGAACAGAACGGGCATCCCCATTCAAGTCAATGATTGCATAATGGTGGACTGGCGGCCATTGCGAGGGTACCCATAGGAGCAAAGCAGAAAGTAAGTGTACCCATCAATATGTGCTGTGATTTGTTGATTCAACTCAACTGACATTACAAAAAATACATTCCATTGCATGAGCCACATCAGTTAACATAATTTGAATTAACATTCTACATTACCATGGACATTTTAGCATCACAATACTATGCAGCCATTGTGAGTGTACCCATGACTTTACCAGTAAAATTGGCAGGGTTAGAAGTTCCAAGCCCGTTCTATTCATTCTATTTCTATGAGTGGGGACCTCCCTAGTTGGGCCACTCAAGGACATTCGCTCTGGAGCAGGTTTTCTTCCAGGATCTCTATGTACTTTGCTCCGTTTGTCATTCCCTCGATTCTGACTAGTCTCCCAGTCCCTGCCGCTGAAAAAAACATCCCCACAGCATGATGCTGCCACCACAATGCTTCACCGTAGGGATGGTGCCAGGTTTCCTCCAGACGTGACGCTTGGCATTCAGGCCAAAGAGTTCAATCTTGGTTTCATTAGACCAGAGAATCTTGTTTTTCATGGTCTGAGTCCTTTAGGGGCCTTTTGGCAAACTCCAAGCGGACTGTCATGTGGCCACTCTACCACCACTCTACCATAAAGGCCTGATTGGTGGAGTGCTGTATAGATGGTTGTCCTTCTGGAAGATTCTCCCATCTCCAAAGAGGAACTCTGGAGTTCTGTCAGTTTGACCATCGGGTTCTGGTCACCTCCCTGACCAAGGCCCTTCTCCCCCGATTGCTCAGTTTGTCCGGGTGGCCAGCTCTAGGAAGAGTCTTGGTGGTTCCAAACTTCTTCCATTTAAGAATGATGAAGGCCACTGTGTTCTTGGGGACCTTCAATGCTCAAACATTTTTTGGTACTCTTCCCCAGATCTGTGCCTCGACACAATCCTGTCTCAGAGCTCTATGGACAGTTCCTTCAACCTCATGGCTTGGTTTTCGCTCTGACATGCACTGTCAACTGTGGGACTTTATATAGACAGGTGTGTATCTTTCCAAATCATGTCCAATCAATTGAATTTACCACAGCTGGACTCCAATCAAGTTGTAGAAACATCTCATGGATGACCAATGGAAACAGGATGCACCTGAGCTAAAGTTCGAGTCTCAAAAATTTATAAAAACCTGTTTTCGCTTTGTCATTATGGGGTATTGGGTGTAGATTGATGAGGAAAATAAATAATTTAATCAATTTTAGAATAAGGCTGTAACGTAACAAAATGTGGAAAAAGTGAAGGGGTCTGAATACTTTCCGAATGCACTGTGAGTGTGCACAAGCATGAGCGTGTGTGTGTGTGTGTGTGTGTGTGTGTGTACAATAGCCCTGTGCAGCGTCCTTTAGTGACAGATGGTAGAGGACCTCAGTCAGATTAATAGACTGATTTTCCATCCAATGGGATCTGGCCTGCAGGGAAGGGAGGGTGTGTAAAAATAGGCTGTCTAATCTCCTATGTATGTGCACGCTCGTGTGTAAGAGAGTAGGTTAGCGTTCAGGTACACAAGCGCTGGTTTACATTACTGTAGTACTGTAGCCTGATCAATAGAGTTGATCATAACTTCTTTAGTACAACAGATATATCAATATCAACCAAACATGTTATTTTACATTTCTTGTATTTATTATTTTATACAAAAGCACACAACTTTAGGTGTTGGAGTAACTATGGCAACAGGTGTAGCGCTGTAACCTGGCAATACAGCTGCATTGATTTGCAGTCTGTGTGCCTTTGAAAGCAACCTGCAGTGATTGGAGGAACATTGGAGCGCAGGAGACACAGCAGATGGTGAAACCACAGTGTCAGGTTTTTCCGTAGCAGTATACCTTTAGCGGGGTTTGCCATTATACTGCATGGGCTTTCCTTAGGCTCACATCAACACCTATTTCAGACCAAACTAGAGTTATGCCAGTTCCTCAACAGAGCACAATCTCTGTGAATAATCATTCCAATATAAGTGCAATTTAATAGATGTATTCTGCTTCTCCCCACACTTCTCTCTGTCTGTGTCATTCTTACAACCATATTCCTTCCCCATTCCTTTGATCTCACTACTCTATTTTCCCCTCACCTTCTCTTTACTTCCCGTTTACTTCGACTGTCTGTCATTTTCCTCCTCTTCTCATCCTCCCTCTGTGTCTTTCAGATTTTTGCCATCTTTGCTTTCTCGACATGCGGCAGCTACTCTGGCATGTTCAAGATGAGTGTGGAGTGTAAAAACCGGTCAGAGAGTGACCTGAGCATTGAGGTGGAGTTTGAGTATCCATTCAGGTCAGTATGCCTATTCAGTCACACGTAACCCCTTGAACCCGCACAAATATGGTCTGTCTGTAATTTCTACAGTACCACTGGGCTGCAAAGTCAGTGGTGGAACATTAACCTGTAAACTTTATTATCCCAAATTGACGTCTCTTTCTCTCTCTCTCTCCCCTCCTCTCTCTCCATCTCTCTCTCTCCCCTCCTCTCTCTCCCATCCTCTCTGTTTCTCTCTCCCTCTCTCTCTCTCTCCCATCCTCTCTGTCTATCTCCCATCCTCTCTCTCTGTCTCTGTCTCTGTGTCTGTCTGTCTCCCATCTTCTCTCTGTCTTTCTATGTCCCTTGTCCTTGCCAGGCTACATCAGGTGTACTTCAATGCCCCAACCTGTAAGGGGGGAAACACTGAGCGTCTGTTCCTGATTGGAGACTACTCCTCCTCAGCTGGGTTCTTTGTCACCGTCGGAGTCTTCTCTTTCCTCTACTCCATGGCAGCCCTTTCTGTGTACGTTTTCATTCTGGAGAAATACCGTGAAGGCTGCAAGGGAGCCCAGATTGTGAGTTTGTCTTTCGCGCTTCTTGTTTCTAGTACTCCTGTTACTATTACTAATATCATAGTAATGATGATGATGAGATTGATTATGTTTCTGATAAGGACTTTGATTTGACGATGATGAGCATGTATTTTGCTAATGCTTTATAATGTGATTATCCTCAGGACTTCGTTGTGACCTGTGTGTTCACCTTCTTCTGGCTGGTGGCTTCTTCTGCCTGGGCTAAGGGTCTGTCGGATGTGAAGGCATCCACTGACCCAGACAAGGTCCTCTTACTAATCGAGGCATGCGACGAACCGGAGAACCGCTGCCGTGAAGTCCACGACCCTGTCGTCTCTGGTCTCAACACATCTGTGGTACGTTTTTCCGGATTTAATTTTAAATGGTGTGTTTTTTTAAAAGGGCATGGACTGCTGAGGATATGATGGAAAAACCCTGTACTACAACATATTGACTTCTCTTCGTCTTCTTCTTCTTATTATTTTTCTTCCAAATCAACCCTCTAGGCATTTGGCTTCCTCAACCTGATCCTGTGGGGAGGAAACCTGTGGTTCGTGTTCAAGGAGACCGGCTGGCTGGCAGCCTTCGGAGGCACATACGCACCTTCCCAGGAGAAAGCGCCTGCCCCAGAGTCCTTCGGCCAGGACGGCTATGGGCAGGAGGGCTACGCACAGCAGGGGGATGCCTATGCCGGCACCCAGGGAGGCTACCAGCCCGACTATGGCCAGGGCGGCTACACCGAGGGAGGCGGAGACTATCAGCAGGGGGGATACGAACAGCAGCCCACCTCCTACGCAAATCAGATGTGAGCTGGTCCACCCTATGGAAGCTGGTGAGTGTCAGTGCATATGATGGAGCAATACTGATAAACAACTGTGAGATACTGCATTACTCTTCCAAAGGAAAATACAGACTATGTGGCTTTATGACATCTTCATAATCTTTAGGTATGAATTAGTTGTCATTTCTTTCTCTCTCTATCGCTCTCGCTCTCTCTCTCTCTCCCCAGGGCCACCATGTGATTTGGGAGTGTGGTGCCTGACCACCACCCACAATTCCACACTCGTCTGTTTGTGCATCTGTGAGTTGACAAGAGGAGGGAGGCAGGGAGCGAGGGATGGAGGAAGGTGGGCTCTTGGGAGGGGAAGTGAGCAACACCGTGTCGTTTGGGAGAGGGTTATTTTGTTGAGGGGGAAATGGGTCCTTACTGTAAAATGCTGTTTATTCTCGTGATGTATTTAACTGTAGAAGACAACAGGGGATTGATTGTCCATTTGATCATACGAGGACAAACTTGAATACAAAACCAAAACCTGAATAAAGAAATTTAAAAACAAGATCAATCTTATAAAGGAATAACACTTAAATGAAGGACAATAATGGTAGTAATATTTAACTTGGGAGAATGTTTTTGTCTGTGCTATGTAAATATCAACATATTCATATAGAAATATGTACACAGTTGAATAATTGTGCACTCCATATTAGTTGTTATACAACAAATGTAGAGCACAGAGTTATTCAATTGTATTTACTTCAGTTCTGTTTAGGAGCTCACATAGTTCAACCCTTGTCATTTTTTAATATTTATGTTTTGTTTATTTTATTTATCCATGTGTGTTTCTTTACATTTTCTGTTTATTCATTTTCAGAATAGAGTTATATATTTTCTATTTTCTCATTGTGCTTTTTTATTTGTTCAACATTACTGAGTGAGTTTGACGGGATAGAGAAGACGTGATGGCAAAGGATGAAGCAAAAAAAGAAAGCAAAAAGAACGATGAATTCAGAGAGTGAAGAATGAGAGAGGTGTTAGCAGTGGAGAGGTGTTAGCAGTGATTTATGTATTTAACATTGGTTTCATTCATTACAACTTGTGTTCATTGTCTTTTATATTTTTCCATCGAAATATTACTCAAGCAATGATTTCGCTATGTTTGTTCCAGAGAATCTCTTAAAAGCTGAAATGTAAAAAGGAGAAAATGCATCTAGGATAATGAAAAAGTAGTTTGCATGGTAAGAATTGTTATTCTGCTAATACTATGCTGTTTCTAAAAACTGCTGTACGTAGTGTGCTATCAACACTCTTATTTAAAGATGATTTGAGGATGTTAAGGGGGATCATGTTTTTTTATTTTATTGTAGTTTGGAACTTGGCATCGGACAGATTGGGCCCAGAACCTTGTCCTGTTTCGATCGCCTATTTATCTAGTCTAGGGATGAGTCATACGACAGAGTTATTAATCGTGTTTAATCACCATTTCTATTGGTTGTCTGATCAAAATGCATGCATATATTTACATAGAACTAAATCAATATGGCACAATATGTGCCATTTTCAAGACCATACACAAGCCATAGAAAATAAGTACAGCATTTTTTACATATTAATATAGCCAACTGAGGTGTTCTGAACAGTATCTTGGTTCCATGTAAATAAAATATCCTGCATCCCCCATCCCCCCACATTCACTCTCAAAAGCCGGTTTTGCATGTGTCTGACTCCTGGACTTAAAGCAGCCTGGAACAAATTGTAGGCAAGTAGCAAACAAGTCTTACAGCATTTTAAGTAATAGTATGTTTGGCTCATCATAAGGTGACAACACAGCACAGAACAGTGCAGCTCTGCTATATTTTACACAAAGTACAGGGACTACACGTGCTGCGATGATCACTCTTTTCAAGGTCATGTAGATAGGCCTACTCGCCATACTGCCAATCCTCTGTTTGGATAGAAGAAAAACTGTATTGCCAAATGGTAACAGGACAGATAGATAGATTTGGCTTCATCAGTTATCATCACAAATAAATTGTTTTTCATCCATGTTATTCCATTATGCAGTTTTGGATCCATAATTTTCTTTATCAGGTTTTTTTTAAATCAGTCGGTGTAGAGCAGGGTTCTTCAATTCCGGTCCTGGAGGGCCGAAACACCTCTGTTTTTCATCCTCTCCTTCTAATCAGGGGCTAATTCAGACCTGGGACACCAGGTGAGTGCAATTAACTACCAGTAGAAATAAAAAACAGAAGTGTTTCGGCCCTCCAGGACCGGAATTGAAGAACCCTGGTGTAGAGGCACCTCACTTTCTCTCTCTTCCCCTGTTCTTCTCTATATTATGCTCTCTCTCTCTCTCTCTCTTTATTTTTCTCTGTAGCTCTTATAAATATGCTCAATGAAATACGTATAGTCTGTCGTTAGTGGTGAATGATGACTTGTGATACTCTTTACGCCTTTGGATAGTTGTATTTATTGTGTATGATGTATTCTTATTAGTATTTATGATAATGACTATTACAATTCAGAGAAAAAAATATCCAAGATTCTCCAGAATTCTATAGTATTCTTATTTTATGGAATCCATGTGAAACAAAATCAAATAAACTTGAAATTATTCTGTTGAAGGTTAAATGTCTTCTCTAACCTTGTAGATCATATGCATTGTTTATGCTGTACTATTTACTGATTGATGTTCAGTAGCGCCGTGAGGTCACTGCGGGATTCACTGTCTGAGGGTATAAGGTATGCCTACTACTAGGCTACATGGGATGCATTTAGACAGGCAGCCCAATTGTGGTCTTTTTTCCACTAATTGGTCTGTTGACCAATCACATCAGTTCGTTTCACATCAGATCTTTTTCAGAGCTGATCTGATTGGTCAAAAGATAAATTAGTGAAATAAAGATCAGAACTGGGCTGATCACCAACTTCTATTATTGCCACATGTAGTCCTGCTGCTTTGCCACATGATGGCATGATATCGCTGTTTTCCAGAATGCTACTGTTGTAATGCATCGAATGCTTTTTCATTATCAGGGTTTGTAAAATATTCAAAGCGTTTTAATATGATTCAAAAATCTTCAAATCCTTTAAAGTGGCAATCTGTGATTGATACATCCATTTTTGTACTTTTAAATTAATGACATACAGTATACCCGTTTTTCTCTTGACGAGTACAACTTATAAGTGCCTAGTGAGCTTAATTCAACTGTCTAACCCAGGGGTGTCAAACTCATTTTAGCTCAGGGGCCACATGGAGGAAAATCTATTCCCAAGTGGGCCGGACCGGAAAAATCATGGTATATATAACTTAAAAACAACAACTTCAGATTGTTTTCTTTGTTTTAATACGATCAACATACAACATAAAGCTGGAGCCTGAGGACAGTGTGTCCAAAATAGTACAAGCACAACATCACTATTAATCACAAAACACGTCAAGTTTATTTGAAAATTCTAAAGAAAAAGAACACACAAACACACAATGCCTCAGTGATTAACAGAACTGTTTCACAGATCACAGAACTATATCAGGGTGTCATTTCTCAGGCAGAAATGTAGATAAAAATAATGAAATCCTGTTCCCCAAACAAGTGCAAGAACCACAGAGTCAAGAATAGGTTAAATATACAAATAAAATAAAATCAATTAAAATCAATAGCACATCAACATAAAAACATATAAACATAAAGCTGGAGCCTGAGGACAGTGTCCAAAAGCACAACATCACTATTAATCATAAAACACCTCAAGTTATTTGAAAGTTCTGAGGACAAAGAACACACAAACACACAATGCCTCAGTGATTCACAGAAGTATATCACAGATCACAGAACTATATCAGGGTGTCATTTCTCAGGCAGAAATGTAGATAAAAATAATGAAATCCTGTTCCCCAAACAAGTGCAAGAACCACAGAGTCAAGAATAGGTTAAATATACAAATAAAATAAAATCAATTAAAAACAATAGCTTTGAACCGCTTCATGTCTGCCACATGTTGGGTCGCGCACACATTTTTCAGACAGGGGAAGTGAGCTGCATCACCACCGGCAAGTTGCGTCTCCCACAATGACAGCTTCAACTTGAAAGAACGTATGCTGTCATAATACTGCGTGACAACTTTGTTGCGCCCTTGCAGCTGTTTGTTCAAGTTATTCAGGTGCTCTGTAACATCCACCATAAATGCAAGGTCCGGCATCCATTCTGCGGAATGAAATTCTAACACTGGTTTGCCCTTTTCTTCCATGAACTGTTCAATTTCTTCTCGTAAATCAAAGAAACGCCTCAGCACAGCACCTCGGCTTAACCATCTTACCTCAGTGTGGTATGGCAGGCCATAGATGTGGTCTTTCTCTCTGAGAAGGCTGTCAAACTGACGGTGATTCAGGCTTCTGGATCGGATGAAATTAACAGTTTGGATGACCACCTACAACATTCGGAGAGTACGACCCTGCCTTACACAGGAAGCGGCACAGGTCCTAATCCAGGCACTTGTCATCTCCCGTCTGGACTACTGCAACTCGCTGTTGGCTGGCCTCCCTGCCTGTGCCATTAAACCCCTACAACTCATCCAGAATGCCGCAGCCCGTCTGGTGTTCAACCTTCCCAAGTTCTCTCACGTCACCCCCCTCCTCCGCACACTCCACTGGCTTCCAGTTGAAGCTCGCATCCGCTACAAGACCATGGTGCTTGCCTATGGAGCAGTGAGGGGAACGGCACCTCTGTACCTTCAGGCTCTGATCAGTCCCTACACCCAAACGAGGGCATTGCGTTCATCCACCTCTGGCCTGCTGGCTCCCCTTCCTCTGCGGAAGCATAGTTCCCGCTCAGCCCAGTCAAAACTGTTCGCTGCTCTGGCACCCCAATGGTGGAACAAGCTCCCTCACGACGCCAGGACAGCGGAGTCACTCACCACCTTCCGGAGACATTTGAAACCCCACCTCTTTAAGGAATACCTGGGATAGGATAAAGTAATCCTTCTACCCCCCCCCCCCAAAAAATTGTAAAGTGGTTATCCCACTGGCTATAGGGTGAACGCACCAATTTGTGAGTCGCTCTGGCTAAGAGCGTCTGCTAAATGACGTTAATGTGCCCTTGAGCAAGGCACTTAACCCTAATTGCTCCTGTAAGTCGCTCTGGATAAGAGCGTCTGCTAAATGACTAAAATGTAATGTAAAAATGTTATCCATCTTTAATGACTTGCAACATAAAGCCTCCTGGTGCAAAATACAGTGAAAAGTCAAAAAATCACATCCTCCATTTGCAGATTGCACTTTCTCTCTGAACTTTGTCACAACGCCTGCTTTTTTCCCTATCATTGAGGGCGCACCATCTGTAGCCAGGCTGACAGCGCGGGACCAGTCCACTCCGACCCTGTCCAGCGCGCCGACGAGTGCGGTAAAAATATCAGCTGCTGTCGTTGTATCTGTCATCGGCACCAACTCCACGAACTCC